TGGATGAATGTCCTGGAGTAGAAGAGGAGTGTGGGAGTCTGCTGCTCACAGTATCCAATCTCCTGATTTGTGATTGGCCGTCTGAGCAGACTGCTATTCCTGCTTTTCCATCAGGAGGGTTGTTTTGGTTGGATGGATGAATACATGATGGATGGAGGGATATGTGGATAAATGAATTCTGAGAAAAATAAATCTGGGTCTGAAGTGGTTCTTAACATAATGACGATAAGTCACAGAGAGCATAAATGATGTAAAATATTATTCTTATTCTGAACTACATTTCAATCTGTAACATTTAATCTTCATCAGGTCAAGTTATTGCTTTTTTTATTCCCCGGGTATTACTCTCGGCCTCACCGAACATAATCCATCTGAAAGTATTATTGCATGCTGCAAATACACAAACCATTACATGATCACTGGCACCTCCTGGTGGACAAAGAAAGAAATCATATTAAATGAGATTTTGTTTTTGTTTCTTTCCCTTTATCTTCAGACTGTAGAAGAAAACAGTCTTATCTTTCTTTTTGTAAGGTGCATAAATGCATTTCTCTCAGTTCCTGGTACCAAGTGAATAATTTTGTCATGTACTGTATAGTAAGGCTGCACGATATTGAAAAAGAAAAATACGATTTTTTTTGTCATGTATCTTAAAAAAATACAGAAAATCAAACCAAAAAAAAAAAAAAAAAGTACAATCTGTGATTACATTGTTAAAAATATCAAAACCGAAATGAAGTGCAGTAAAAATATAAATACAAAGGTGTGCATACAAGCGATTACTCACAGTATATTTACCTCTCTGCAGCATGATTTTCATCATGTTTTCTTCATTAGTGTTAAAACAAGAATTGTATTTAAAAAAAAAACACTCATGCTTTGATTTGGGTTAACTCATCTTGGCTCACTGAGTGTGTCCTGTGAGTTTCTCTTCTCTGTTTGAAGTTTCACTTTGTGTGTGTGTGTGTGTGTGGGGGGGGGGGAGGTTAACTCAATGACATGTTCACTGTCTGCTCGGAAGTTGCATCATCTCAGGTATAAGTTACTTTCTGGACAAAAACATTTGCAATAAAGGGCAATTACATTTTTTCTCATCTATTTATTTTAAATTAAATGACCCACAGATGCAGCGTTCGCAGCATTTAAAATTGGCCTAATTTAATCATAGTTCTTACGTTATATATTCTATATTATAAATAAAAATAAACAAACAAGTCAACCATTAAAGTAAAAAAAAAAGAAAGTTGTTTTTAATTTTTATTTTAACACCATGTTGTGTTATCACCGACGGTCATTGAACGCATCGCCGTCTCACGGTTAAATGCAGCGTCCCCGCTCCCCCCCCCCTCTGTCACAGACACGCTCGGATAGAGAACAGCTTCTGTCTGCGGATACTGAACTTCAGAGCTCTCTTAAAGGTTCGTTTCTACAACTTTGTTATCTTTTCTCCAAACTTTTAAATATTTGAGACGAAACTCTCTCTGCCTTTTTTTTTTATTTTTTATTTTTTTACACCGCATAAAGCAAACAGTTAGTTCCTATATCACTCGGTCATAGTCACAACATAAACCGCAGTTTTATGTGTTTGACATTCAAATATGGTAAATTAGAGGCTTGGCGGTTTCTATTTAAGTCTTCTTTGTTTGAAAGTAAAAATAATAGCTTGTTGTTGTTGTTGTTGTTGTTGTTAGCGTGTTGGGCTGCATTACAAAGTTATGACTGGCTTGTTAAACAAAGGGATGCACTCTGTAGTAATTAAATGTGATGTTCAGTATGTGTGAGTGACTTTTATGTCACTTAGGAAACCACTGTGCAGCATGCGTATGAAATCCTGCTTTAGATATAGAGGTGTTATGATGAAAAGCTTCACCTTAAAGTGCACACTCACACAGACATCCACAGCTCACTGCTTTAAATTCAGTGTAGAAAGTATTTACAGCAGGTCACGTATATGTATACTGCACAGATGTATTACACAGTATGAGCTCACCATGCTGCATGTTTTAAGTATGCACAGCTTCAACATATGAAAGTGCAACATGTCTACACTATTACTGAGACAGATAGATGGACTGTGACATCCTTAAATCAAGAGAGTCAACATAAACAACTTCCACTAAGTACTTTCAAATGTGATAAAGTGCAGAACTGAAGTACAATAAACATGCACAGGGGAGTATTGTGACTGCAAATCTGAGTCACTTTGCAAACATGTTTTGGGACTTAAATCCCAGCAGTCATGGATTATTTTCACAGGAGAAACAAATATAAATTGTACCTTCTGTTTTTGATGCTGTGTTAATTTATAGTCTGAAAACAAAATGATCTGTGAAGGGTCACATCGTTGTGCAGGTTTACTCTCTTTCAACAAGTGACCACTTCAGGGACCCTTAAAGTGTCCGAGCAGGTTTGGTCAAAAGGCTTCTGTCACACACATGGACCTCCTGTCTATAACAACAAAGATCTCCCCGTCGCCCCCTCCCCGCTGTCTTCAAAAAGCTTCGCTGCACACACACACACACACACACACACACACACACACACACACACACACACGAACAGTTGGCCTTGATGTCGCTGGGCACAGAGGGTCAGGTGGGAGGTTCAATCGACTTTAACCTCCCTCTTTAGAAGGTTCAGAAAGGTCTGCTGTTGGCACACGGGCACTTGACCTTCCCTGTGACTCCCCATGTGTGTGTTTGAGGATGGGGGGGTGGGGGGGTGGGGGGGTGGCATTTGAGCGCCCATGGGTGGTGTTTATGAAGTGGATCAGTCACCTCAGATAGCACCCTGATGCCTGCACACATAAAAGTGTGAGCAAAGAGACACCCGGACACAGTAACATGTGTTTACTCTGTGCTGAGAAAGAAGACGAGATGTGACGGCGTCCTTTGTTGAAAAAGGTGTTTACGTCCTCATGTGTGGAAAAGCACATAAGACTCCATCAGCTGCTGATTTGCAGCCGTTAATCCGGCTGATTTTATGTAAAAAAAAAAAAAAAAAAAAGTGGTTCTCAAAAGGTTTTAAGGGTAGAAAGTTCAGCAGCTTGTTTCAACAATGACCCCCCGTGTTTCTGCGTCTGAAATCCTCTTACACTCAAGAGTTGTTGCGTCACCGGGGAAGAAAGACGGCATAGACGGGAGGAATTCCACAAAGACGTCACAAGCTTCAAACTTTACATCATACGAGCTGTTGAGTAAAACCGTCCATATAACTACGTGCCTCTTGAGTTATTGTCAAATTATGTAACTTCAGTGCAACCACAGATAATAGTACCGGCTTCCTGTGCATGATTAAGGAATACAAATCATCTACTATTTCTCATAAGTAACAGCTTTGAACTGTTTTCTTATAAAACTAAATAATGCTGCCTCTTTCCCCTCCCACTCGCTGCAATGCACGCCTCATTTTGTGCTATATAAGTTGTGTTGAGTGGGTACGATCTCCCATGAGGAGTGAATAACGCTTCATGGCAAAGCATCTGGCCAAGAGTCTTGAAGGCAAACTCCTCCTGTCGCCATTCTTAAATCATGGCAGAGGCGGAGAGACAAAAGAGAGAGAGAGAGAGCGAGGGCCGAGTGAGCATACAAGTCGGCGCCAAATAAATCTGAGCCTGCGGGGGCAGTTAACAATGTTTCATGTTTGTTGTTCTGAATTTATTCAAGATTTAATTGCAAAACAACAAAAGCTCAAATCAGTTTCACTTTTATCTTTAGCCTGGTTCAAAGTCAGAGGTAGCGTCCTTTTGAAGGACTCTGAGTCCATCGCTCAGGACAAACAGAAAAGAGAAGATCTAGGAAAAGAAAAAGCTAAAGACCAGCTCTTTCATGAATACCTACTAACTTAATGATGATGGTCTCCATATTATTGATGATGATGATGGTAATGACGATGGTTTTTGTTTGATAACGACGACTTATAAGATGGTTTCTATACTGATTAGAGCTCTCAAGAACTGCCCTCAATGTTGTGCTTTGCCTCTGGTCACTTCCTGTCAGCACCTGTGTGTCCAATCAGACTCAAAGCTGATCGTTTGCTCTTACTGACATTGTTCCCTTTTTTCTAGATCCTTGCTTGTGTTGTTCTTACTCTCTGATGTACGTCACTTTGGAGAAAAGAGTCTGCTAAGTGAATTGTAGAATTAACCCAACTTTTTATCGCTAGCTTTTTATATTTAATTGGAGCCATTGTTTTGGACGCTTCAAAAGACCCCCGTCTTGTTTGAATTGGTACGATCTGGAGGGTTCAAACAACAACAGGACGTAGTCAGCAAACAGGGTTAATTACTCGTTGCACCACTTCTAATGCTTGTGCAAATGTTCTTCGGCGCTGGACTGACTTTAAGCCCCTCAAAATGCAGTTTCATGGAGGTGCCTGATGGACGAGTGGTTAGTTTGCACGCCCCATGTACTCAGGTTATCGTTCTCGAGGCAGCGGCCCGGGCTCGACTCCTGCACGTCATTCCCGTCTCTCTTTTTCTCCACGGTTTTAAACTCTTATCGACTGTACTATTTGAATGAAGGCCCCAGAATAAAAAAATCTTCTGAAAGGTGTTTTATTGTAGCACTAGAAAAATAATAATTTCTCCAGAGATTTTATATCTATCAGAGCTCGGCCGAAAAAAAATATCTTAAATGGTTAGCTTGATTATTAGCTCAAGTCCTGTGTCTTACATAAGTTACCACTTCAATCAATCACATGAGAAATCAATGTAATGGATTTTCATCTTACATATATGAGGATAACTTGTGTTTATTTAACAATGTTTCAGCTTGAAGAGTCTTAGTTTAGGTTCTCCCGCTCACTCTCCTCTAGCCACCTTTAAACATTTCGATCAGTCCTGTTGTGACTGTGTGTGTGCTGTTTATCTATCTAGTGTTTTGAAGCAGCCCCACCTGTGAAGCTTCACATTTAACCGCCCAGAGACAGGAAGTAAAGCAGCGGAAGTTTTCCTCCCACCAGCCCTGCATGAAGGCAGCAGCAGCAGCGTCACAGGTTCAAACTGCACAGCAGGCTGCAGCTCTGCAGGTTTTTATTATATGTTTGAATCAGTGTTTGTTTGTAGAGGAAGGTGTGGGTGAGGATTTCAAAAATATGCACATTTATATGCATATGTTTATGCAGATGAAGGCAATTATGCAAGGATACATTTAAGGAAAAGGGAAGCCGATGCGATTTAACTGGAAAAGACATAAATGAACACGGGGGGAAACAACAGCACAGAAGTGAGTATCACAGTTTGAACCTTTAAACCTAGAAATGGTTCAGCCAGCGCCTACGTCAGAAGTTTTTGCTTATTATGATGTTGTTTTTTTTGTTTTGCTTTGAGGTTTTGGGCACTTATAAATAGACAATGCCGTAGATAACATCGACTTTATAAAACATGGATGTAACCTCAGAGAAGTCAACCATTTGTTTCTGAAGAGGGGACTGTTCATAAAAAATACTAAGAAGACAAATAAAGTTCTTAAAATGTAGTAATTAGTTATATTAGTTATGTAATTAGTTTCATTCAGAAATTCAAAACAGAAAACAGTTTCATGATTTTTCATAGATTTTTTTATAAATGAACAGATAAAACATTTTGGTCTTCAACTTTTTTTTAATTAGGAAATATAATTAAAGTATTCTTGAACACTCCAGAAGTGATTTGACCTCTGAATCGTTTTGATTTTTGAGATACGTTTTTGTTCTTGAGCCGTGTGCAAAGTGGTTTTAATAGTTTCATCTGCACTAGAAATGCACGCCTCCATCATTTCTCTCCGCTTCCTTTAACACTTTGTTTTCTTAAATCCTGATCGACCTACAGGTTATGTAAGTTATTCTAAAGCTTTTATGTTTTCATTCATTTCATCTATTCAAACAGGATTATGCAAAACGAGAACCACCTACAGTCATATTGCAGAAGCCCTCCCAATCCCCCCCAGGTCCAGCACGTTGGCACAACAATTTACACGCTATGTAATGCAGCGTTATGACATCATCACCATAATATAACATTAGGATGCAAAAGACACAATCCGCAGCTCTGTGAATGCTGGAGCTGTTATGGTGGTCATTTCAGATCAATCTAAACAGGATTATGTAAATCACAGTCTCCCACGAGTAGCAGTGGGAGGTCCGCTCTCACAGAGTTTATATAAATTATTGATCAGCGCAGTTTTAAACTACAGCTGAACAACATACACAAGACTAAATGTCAAACCACAGAGACAGTAAAGTGAAGCTTCATCATCTACGCTACATCATTAGTTACAGCAACAAGGACGGAGTCATCAAAAGGATGCAATTAGAAAATGATAAAATAGTATATTTAAATGATGATTCAGGATAAGTGATGTTAAACGTCTTGCTGTCAACGACTTGGTTGGAGGGACCCCCCCCCCCCACCACCCAATGAATTATTGCCTAAGACTCCAACAGACTCTAGAATCCCCCCTGGTTGGGTCTTTGTAGATCATATAAGAATGAGTAAGGTCTTAAACCTGTTTTTTGTAAAGCGTCATAAGATAAAAAAATTATGAATTGGCGCTATACAAATAAAGATTTTTCAATATATTTTTATGAAAGCAAGTTCAAGACATACAGGGCAATTGGGATGCAGTCAACATTTTTCTTTTTTCCCCCCAGAAACATTCAAAAACCCAGAATCACTTCACCTCCCAGTCCAACAAATAGACGTCCTGAGTTCAAAACAAGAATAAAAGTGCAAAAAATAAAATACAATAACTTAATAAAAATAAATAGATAAGCATGAAAAAAATAAATAAAAGTACATTTGAAAAGAGTAGTATCAAAATAAAGATTGTTTGATAGATTTTACAAAATGTCGCAACATTTAAGGAAACAGGGGTTGCAATTACGAATCACAAATCTTTCCCCTCCTGCTCTACTTTGTGTGTTTCTACGTCCGTCTCATCTCGACTCCTGACTCAGGGTCAGCTGAGTTTACTGTAAAGGTGACTCGCTCCAGCTTCTGAAAAAATGACGCCAACAAGTATTGCGGACTGCGGACGTGATCTGCGTTTAGTATTTCAGCGCTATAAATACTCCCCCTCTCCCGGCCTCCTTTCCAACACTGGGACTGACACACACACACACACACACACACACTCACATACACAAACGCACAGAAAAACACACACACACACACAGCTCCCCAGTAGGCCTCAAATATCACATCGACCGTCACTGAGTCGAAGACTGAGCCGTGAAAACTGCTGCAGAGAAGGCTGCATGAGTGTTTGTGTTGCTGATCACACAAAGACAAAGTTGGAGAGATTTCAAATAGAGGGTTGTGTTTTTTATGACGGTACTGAAAGTCTCTGCCAGGAGTGACAGCTGCTGTTTTTTTACGAGTCCTGAAGGCGTGTGTGGGCCTTCATTTGTGTTGCATTAGATACAGATGATGGTTTGTGAAGTTTCGCTGATCGAACCTTTTATTTCCAAACTGAATCATTTATTAAGAAATGTTGAGCAGGGATTTCCTTTAACATAAAGAAAGTCTGCAGATAGAAACTTGTTTTTGTGGTGACGGTGTCAAATGTGATGAAACACCTCTCTTTGCTCTCTCTCTCTCTCTCTCTCTCTTCCTCTCACAGGTTGTTTAAAGCATCAAAGGCAGAAAATATCCACCCCGCCTCCTCCTCCTCCTCCTCCTCCTCCTCCTCCCCCTCTTTGCTCTGCCAGCCTCTTTTTCCTCTGGAGGAAAAAGGGCCAGTCGGCTTTCTGCTGCGGTGGAGGAAAGGTGGTCGACACCGAAGCAGCATTATCGTTCTGGCATCCTTGCGAGGTTTTCCCCTGGAGAATATTTGTGACACAGCCAGAGAGTTAAAAAAAAACAACCTGCAGTGATGTCGCCTTTCCTGCGGATTGGGTTCTCCAACTTTGAGATGGACCCTGGTTTGGCGTACCACGAGGAGGTGCTGAACCCGTACTGTGCTGTTTACATGAAGGAGGCCGTAGACACAGGTGAGTCACTCTACACCCTCAACAGTTTCCAGGAGCCCCGAGAGTTTGACATACTAGTTCTTTCCCAGGTAGTCTTTCTTTCTTTTTAAGATTTATTTTGGGGCTTTTTCTGCCTTTTTTTTTTTTTAGAGAGATAGAACAGTGGATAGAGTCAGACATCTGGGGAGAGAGAGAGAGAGGGGGATGACATGGGGGGAAAGGAGCCCCAGGTCAGATTCAAACCTGGGCCGCCTGCTGTAGAGGACTTAAGCCTCTTTATAATAAGGCAAGTGCACTAACCGCTAGGCCCAATAGGCCGCTGCTTAATCGAGCTTAATCTCTGAGTCCAGTCTCAGGTGTCAAAGCTGTTTTTACATCTCTAACATTTTAATTCTCTTTCTTAAATAGGAACATTTTGCACCCGTAGTTTCAGACATTTCTCACTTTCTTTGATTGGTTTAAACTTATATCAACAACATGTATTCAGTTGTTGCTGTAGGAAAACATACGCTCTATAAAGAAGCACTGACTCTTTCTCCTCTGCCTCCCAGGAAGTGACGCGTTCGATGTTTTAGAAAAAGCAACAACAGTGGGTGTTTGGGATAAATATAGAAGTGCAGAAGTGGAGTCTTTATTTTCTAGACTTTTGTTGGAAAGATGTGCAAAACGTCCGAGGATTAGTCGGAGGAATGTTTACATGGAACATGTAAATACTTCAAATTCTGCTGTATTTGTTGAATATTGTCTGTCTTATGAACAGAAGCTTATGAGTCAGCAAAGGCTAAACATACATGCATACTGTAAAACTGACAGGGGATCTCCGGAATAGGATGACAGGCTTCAAATAGTTGGCCAAAGACAGATAGTAACGGAAAAGTGAGCAGCTCCAAATATTTAAAAAAAGATCATTCATTATTAGGATTGTAGATTTTTACTACAATGTGTGTGTGCACTTTGGGAGACTTCCCTCAAGATGACAGACGTGCGAGCAGATATCTCGTCCTGCATCTGTCTGCCTGTAACTGCTGGTGGGTATTAGAGGACGAAGCTAAAAAAACAGAGAGATCGAGAGGAAAGACAGAGGAGGGCTTCTGATGTTTCCTTTTCTCTTAAAACCACAGACGTGTCTCTACGCTGCAGACTTCTTTATGTGTCACTGACTCGCTCTCAGGAGACGAGCTCCTTCAGTTTCACTTCTCTTTGACTCGATTCAAAATCTGCTTTTAGGTCTGAATGACACTAAACTAAGAATGACGACTTACAGCCACCATTAGTCATCGATCAAACGCTTACATCTTTAGGGTTACTGCCGAACAGAGAAGATAACCGCCTTTTTTAAACCTGAATAAAGAAGTGAAACAGGATCAATTCTAGTTTTTCCCTCAGCGTCCCCCTGAAAGCATGAGAACGTTGACTTGTGCTTTTAGTGGTTTCAGCTGTCTAAAGATGGCACCCTGCTGACTTTTCAAACTGAACGATGATGCTTCAATACTTTCCTTCCAAAACAAAAGAAAGTTCCCATCATGCACGCTGGCTCATCTTCAGTTAAAAGTGATGGAAAGCTTCAATAAACATCTTTTCCTTTGCAGTCCTCTTCAAACGTAAGAGACCCTTTTTAAAATCTTTTAATCTGCAGCATTAATTTAAAGGCCCAGCGTCATTTTGTTGTTTTCAGACACAGTCATCTTCATCGGCAGCCAAACGCACAAACTCAACTTAAACAACGCCAACAAACTTGTTTTTATATAATAAAGATTACAAGGCTAATGACGTGTCATCTTACACCAGTATCTGAACTTTTATTTTAAAATCAAAACTCTAGCGTTGAAGTGGTTAAGTTGCAACAATCTGCCACTGAACCAGGAAATGTCGCCTCAACAAATCAGCTTTCTGTCTTTACTCATTCATGCCTAGTGAAGGTGTGTGGTCAGGTGAAATGTGTTTCCAGCCGCGTTATTATGAATGTGTGAAGTTTTTGTTTGGTTGTTTTTATTTCATTAAGACAAAGAATTGGGTTGCTATTAAGGCTGTCGGCGTTAACGCGTTAATCAGGATCCGATTAAAGGCTTTATATGTGATTTTTTGATCCAGCAGATGTCGCCCTTGAGCACCAGCATGAAACCAAAACAACTCGCGCTGCATTGTTGTGTTAGCATGCTAATGCTAGCGATCTTTATTATGCTGGTATCTTCACACTGCATGTAATTTACCTGAAATGAGCGTGATCTAGAAACACAGTTAAGCAGTGAGTACAGTATGTTATTCTTCTTTTCTCTAGTCCCTCAATTAAACAACTTTTATACACGAGGGGAGGAGTTAGCCGGCCGTCCGGGCGATGTAAACAAAGTGAAGATAGGACTCTGAAAACTCTGAAAGCATCACAGACAGTGGGACTCGGGTGTTACACCCATTGTAGACAGTCATGACTCACAGAGTTATTTTCAGAGGAGATACTTGATTTCTACATTTAAGTGTAAATAAAGCAAATAAAGACTTTAAAGGTTAATGCATTTTATTTATTTTTTATTGCATCGATCATGTGCTATGTTGACCTTTAGGTGCACTGTAACTAAGTATGTGTCTCCCTGTAGTCACAATAATTACAGAGTTACACCACTGCTCCTCTCTTCAAAATATAAACCTCCCAGACGGCTCAGTTTACAAGTCAAAAGTCAGATCCACCTCATTACATCTGACATTTCATTTTGTTTACTGTCCTCTTTAGTGGTCTTCATTTACTTTTTGATACATAACAGGTTCAGTTTTCTTCATGGTTAAGTGCAATCCGTTGTGTATTTCTACCAAAGACAAACATCTATAAAAACAGCTCACAAATATACGTTTTTTTATAAAAAGGCCAAAAAAAAGGTCAGTCCTCCTTCTAACAGCTGCTCACTGTGGTTTTGCAACAAGCAGAAGTGAACAGTGTTTATTGGGGGCAATTTTAATCAGAGGGTTAATCCACATTTGGGAACTTGGCACTGCAGGACGGTGTGTGTGTGTGTGTGTGTGTGTGTGTGTGTGTGTGTGTGTGTGTGTGTGTGTGTGTGTGTGTGTGTGTGTGTGTGTGTGTGTGTGTGTGTGTGTGTGTGTGTGTGTGTGAGACTTTGTCAACAGTGTGTGCTCTTTTTAATTAAGTGCAACAACAGTGAGACCCCTTGATGGGTCTTTAAACGGGATGGCTGTTGGTAGAGTCGGTCGTCTCTCAACCGGAAGGTCGAGGGTTCGATCCCCAGCTCCTGCAGCAACATGACCGCTGCGTCCTGGGGCAAGACACTAAACCCTGAATTGCTCCCGCTGCTTCCTCGGCGGTGTATGAATGCACATGAATGGATCAGTTACTTCTCGGTTACTATAGCAACCACTACCATCAGTGTGTGAATGTGTCGGTGTGACAAGCTCAAGTCCATTTACCATTTACAGGGTGTACGTTTGTGGAGCTGAATAGCCGATTGCCCCATGTACGGAGGCTATAGTCCTCCTTGAAGCGGTTGTGGGTTCGAATCCGACCTGGGCCATTTGCTACATGTGATCCCATATTGTCTCCTCCCAACATTTCCTGTCTCTCTTCAGCTGTTCTATCCAATAAATGCAAAAAGGCCCCAAGAATAAAGTTAAGCCTTGGATTAACAGACATTATTGACAATATTTATAAAAGTTTTCATCGTGTAGTGGAGGTCTGCTACTCTTCCAGTTACTGTTTGTGTGTTTGCTCATGTAACTGAATCTTAGCAGTTTCCTTTTTTTCGTTTTATATCCGCCTGTTGTAAAATGGAAAATCGTGTTTGACAGCATGTACCTGCAGTCAAACAGTGGCCCATTCTTGGTTAACTTCCACTTTTTTCTGATCCTATTCAAGTGAGGCAAACCTGCTGAGTCAAGGCTCCAAAACGCTGCTAATAAACTTTCATTAGTGAGGGATTTGATGTTTAGATTAGCGAGGGCTTTAGTGTGAAGGATTAGGTCCAGCTGTGGTGTTGTTTGAAACTTCTTTTTTAGTATGAAACTAAAAAAATTCATTAACTTTGAGGTTAAGGACTCAAACAAAAACCCCAAATGTAAGGCTTCATTTAACAAAAAGAAAGAAACTTCAAAGCAGCAGAGGCTTGAAAGCCCACCTTAATCTAAATGCCACCCTGGTGCTTTTCCACAGAACTACACAGGAACTGACAGAGTATCTGCTGACATAAAAGACGTGTCGCCTCTCTCACTCTGCACAACGCCGCACACACATTTCTTGCAGAGTGTGATGTCGAGTCAGGAGCGACATCCCCCTCTCTGGGTTCTTAAATCTGCACAAACAGCAGCAGCTGCGATGAGCCGGTGATGATGGTAACGGCCGCAGATCACATTGGAGTATAAAGCTTAGCGGGCTTTATTGTTGAAGCAGCAGGATGGCATGTGGCCATTATGTAAGTGGATATTTAGGATGTTATTTCAGAGGAACATCAGCAGATGTCAATTATGAAATTATTTGTGTTTTTTCGGCCTTGTAATGCGAATCAAAATCTCTCAACACTGCGAGACGATAATCACAAAAGGTCTGCTTAACACGGGCTTGAATTTTCTCAAAAAATCCTGCATCGCATACTGAATGTATCCGCCCTGAAATAACAAGAGGGCAATAAAAGTAAAGTCAGCAGTCCAGCTGCGTTTGCACATTAAGCACATTTTCATGCATGGATTTGGGCTTTAAATGACAGCTCACAGGGCTGAAAAAGAGCAGTTAATCCCCTGAGAGTGAAACCCGATCGCACACCATACATTCATCCCTGATCACTGGATTAATTCATGGTGTCGCTTTTCAACCCTGGAAAATCTCCTCCACCTTCAGGATATTTTCAATCAAGTTGCACCATGCTCAATCAATAAAGAAGTCGGCTGTTGATATTCTATACGTTCAGTTTTGTCAATAATTCTAATAAAAGATTAACATATTACTTTGCTATGTTCTTATCCGCTCTGCAGGGGCCCTGGCCCGTTTCTCGTTGTGAAGACGATGATTTTAACTTCAACTTTGGCGTAATAAGAAACGAGAAAATACTAAATGTCTGTACAGTTTGGCATATCTTCAGTTCAACACGTAATTTTGGTCTTTTATTGAAGTACAGAATACATCTGTTAGGGTCTTTCATCAGGAAATTTAAAAAAAAGACTGTCGGGTTGTAGTTGCATGTTGACACCTTGTGTATTGCCAGTAAGAAGATGACGTTGAATTTGCTGACAAACAGGATTTCTTGGTATTGAAGTAAAAGTTAAAAGTAAAAATGAAAATCATCTCGTGAAGCTTTGGTTTCATGTGAGAGGTTTCAAGAGACTGTGTATTAAGAAGGACGGAGAAAACAGCCACATGGGAGTGAAGCCAAAGTAATTGCCGCTCCCCTGCTGACTGGGTCCATGTTTTTGTTTTAAGGAGTTCTTTCGGCTGTAACATCATGAGCCTTTCGCTAACGAACAGCATTTTCTCTGTATTCCTTTTTTTGTTTCTTTAGAAAAGGGTCCAGTGTACAAACAGAAGAAGCCCACCATGTACCCCCCGTGGAGCACCACGTTCGACGCCCACGTCCACAAAGGGCGCATCATGCACGTGATGGTGAAGGACCGCACGGCAGAGCTGAAGTCCGAGGCCATGGTGGCTCTCGACTCGCTCGCAACACGATGCAAGAAGGAGAGCGGCAAGCTGGAGATCTGGGTGAGTGCATGATGTGGCTATGGGTGTGTGTGTGTGTGTGTGTGTGTGTGTGTGTGTGTGTGTGTGTGTGTGTGTGTGTGTGTGTGTGTGTGTGTGTGTGTGTGTGTTTGTTTGTTGTACTCACTGACCAGCTGTTTGAGCAACAATCCAGACAGGCTGTCTCACTTCAGGGTCAAAACACCAAATGTTTTAATCTGTAATCCACGTTTTAGACATGGAGAAAAAAAACTCACCAGAATCACTGTTTTAAAAAAATTCACCAACAGGCGTTCTTCCCTGAAGAAAGTTATTTTACTGTTTCTAACATCTGGATAAATCAGGGGAGTTTAGCTTGAGTTGAAGCTCTAGTCGGCCTTCTCAGTTTGATTTAAGATCATAAAACTCAGTCTGAGCTGTCCTCAGTGAGACATTTTAAAACAATACTAAAAGTTTAAAGGAAAGTTCAATGACATGAATACTGTCGACGACCAATATGCTGCATTCTCTGGAAAGCAGAAGGAAACAGCGAAAGTAAATATTGTAAACATTGAGGGAACTTTAAAGACCTTTAAGTCACTGCAAACCTCAGTGTTAGTGCTGCAGCTGTTGGCCTGTGGCCTGCTAGCTCGTTATATAGTAACCCACTTACGACCACAGGTAACACAAACCACAGCATGAACAAGGACAGTTGCATCAATTTATATCAAAATAACTCCTGGTAAAGCGTTTTCAAATTTCTGATGACTCACCCTGCACTCAGGGGCGCTTACTGAATTTCGACCAATTAAATGAGGCTTGACAAATCCTTGTCAAAGTCATCGCTGCAGTCCACCATATTTGTTGTGATGCGCCCACTTTTCAACAATCTAATCAAATTCATCCTAACGTTAGGTCCCGCCTTCTACCTTGTGATTGGTTCTATCCAGTTTCAGTCAATAATCACATCTCAACACGGCCGTTAGGTACTCTTAGTTCTGTTTCATGGGGACTTGAAGCATGATGGGAAAGTCTGATGAGCAAATAATGACCCCTAATATCTCCCATGCACCAGAAGACTTTATAAAAACCATAAACTATAAAAAGTTTTAAGTCACAGACTGAGATCTTGAGAAGAGTGGGGATCTTGCTGCAAGACTTCAGTACATCTAGATTCCTTTTGAGATGATTTCCCATCATGCACTTGGTGGAAATGTACTATAATTTTAAAGCAGGAGGCTAAACGAGATGGAGTTGTGACAAGTCGTAAGAAGGTTTCTGAGGGTGAACCTGCAGAAGGATCCTTTCAGTAACTGTTCTATATAGACACTCATCGGGGATTTCATGGGCTGCGGCAATTTCTGTCCTCGTTTTTTCCTTCTCCACTCTACAAAGTGGAGGACACGTCTAAGAGGCGTTCTCGCTCTCTGCACAGCTCCACCAGTTTCTCCTCCTTTTCTCATCATTTGGGGGTTTGTAGACAGACTAGGGACACATATTCATGTTAGAGAAACATGGTTAAGTGGATTTTGTATACTGTGTCTCTGACTAAACAATAGACTTAAAGACTCCTTATCCTAATTTCCTCCTCCTCATTCTTCCTGATCTACAAAGAATCAGATTTTTCAATCAGTCATACACATCATAATGAGGTTATCGAGGCCAGCAATTCTCATTACTCAATTTATTGTAACACATCAGATCAATCCTTGCCGAGAAGAGATTTTCATTTCCCTGGAAAAGATTTGGCTTTGAGTGACTCTGCAGACTTTATTCCAACTGTCTCTCAAAGCTAAGTAAGAACCAAACAAACACATAAAGTCAAGTGAATGAATCAAATCAAACACATTCTGGGGCCGAGTATCCTTCTCAGTCTGTTCCTCTGTTTGTATGTGCCAGACAGCAAGCCTGCTACCGTGCAGCCAAACAGCTTTACACACATCATCATCATCATCATCATCATCACCACGTCCTTCCCTTTTTTATAATCGACGTTTTTCTCATTAATTTCTGCCTGAAAACATTTCTGTGGTTTCAGTGGTTTCATACACAAAGGTCATACATTTCACATTTATTGTAATATAGTCTGTCAACTAGGTCCCTTTGGTTTAATCTATTTTTAGATTTATGGTAATGCCCCAGTCACACCAAGATGAACTTGTTGTTTGTGTAAACCTGCTTTGCAACAAACCCGATTCTGTTTCCGATCCTCAGCTGGAGATGAAGCCACAGGGCCGCCTGAGGATGGAGGCCCGATATTATCTGGAGAAGAGCGGTGAGTGATTCAACTTTCTGCGGCTCCATCAGATACTAAAACGACTAAATGTTGTATCATTAAGGGGTTTGACTGCCGCCAATAAGAATAAAGAAAAATGGCCAGATAGAAAAAGTAAAGCTGAGATGACAGTTTTGATGATATGCAGTTTTCATCTTTAGGAGAAGACGTCTTTGTAGAGGTCCAACCAGAAATAATTTGTCTACCACCAACTCCTTTTGCTGTTAATTCAAATTAAATCAAGAGTTTTGTTTCTTGAAGCATCTATTGTATCATTTCTGTGCCCAAGAGATAGTCAGGTCATTTTTAAGGTAGTAACTTTAATGTGGAAGACTTCACCACATGACAGTTTTTATAATAGTTTTCTATGATGCAGTTCTGAGCTCTTTTGGAGATGATATTTGTGGGATTAAAACAGGTTCAATACAGTATAAATATAGTAAATGTCATCATCGAATACAAGCAATCATCCAAATTGTCTGTGTAGTCCTACAAAAGCCGGCATCACGCCAACCCTCTTGAGTTCATGAAGCTTAATCTTCAAAAGCCTGATTACATTTTCTCAAAATAAAAACGTCATTTATTCCACATGCTGGTACAAAAAAGATGCATCTTGCTCCTCTTATGGCTGCTTTCCGTGACATTAACACCGTGTAGAGGCCCGAGGAGTCCCCGAGGACTTAAAGAAGACATCTCACGTCTCTAAATATAGAAACACAGCTAATGAGAAATCAACAGGTGGCGTACAGACTGGGACCAAGAGGTTATTTGGTCTGGGGGACTTCCTCCTGAACGTCATGCAAACACACACAAACACATGCACATGAGCAGTTCATGAGGTTAAATAAAATATTATTTTTTACTGGGGTTTTATGTAATAATCATAGAAATGCCACTTTATGGTATGAGCAGCTAAATATTGCCTCCATTGTTGGAATCAGCAGAGCTTTCAAAACACTTTCAAGAGTTCAAATTGAAGATCTTCAATGTAGTCATGGTGTTAAAGGAACTCAATTTGTTAATTCTCAGCTATAACTCAAACTGTCCTTTCTACATTTGCCTTGATTATATGAGTTTAAAACAATAGACACTTTATATGCAAGGCTATTTCCTCATGCCTCCAGTCTTTGTGCTAAGCTAGGCTAATCTGATCCCAACTACAACTCTGTAGTTTAGATTAACAATCTTTAGATTGCATAAATACTCCTCTAAAATAAAAACCTCCTCTGGTGTAGCTGGGGTATAATGTGAAGAGTTTAGAGTTCATGTTTTAAAATGCTGCTCAAAGATCTAGACTTCAACCTGGGCCGTTTGTCTGGAGTACTTTGCCTCTAAACATGGGGCGTGAGCAAATAGCTAGGCCGTCTGCGGCCCCTTTTTGTGTGCGTGTCATTCCCAAATCTCTCTCCCCACATTTCCTGTCACTGTCAATAGCTTTCCATCCAATAAAAGGCCAAAAGCCCTCGAAATAATCTTGTAAAAAGAATGGTGAAATTGTTCATCCCTACAGACCACTAACACGAGAATATGAATATTATGATGTAAAAAGATATCAAACTCACTGCTTAGTGTAAATTGTGAGGTTAGGCAACACCTCCTCTGATTGATTATCTGGTGTTAACGCCTCAATTAATTAAAGTAATTAAAGATTAAAGTTTGAATCAGAATATTTTTAAGCCTCAAGTTTCTAGAAGACTTTACAGAACACTGGAGGGTGTGACAAAGGAAACTGACTCATCTCTAGACTCTCAAAATGAAAAATATGTTAGTAAGAAGTAACACTTACCAAACAACAAAAAGATGAGAAACTGAAACACAGGTGTGAAATCTGCTCAGCTATAAGAAGCGCTCTGACCACAGAAATTTAGCCAAACAGGATTATGTCTTTTTCTTTTTTTATATAAAGGTTGTATGATGTGTTTCAGACGCTGCAGGCCAGACTGAGGAAGACCCCGAGTCTGAACGGGAGAGGGAGGGTCTGTTCGCCCTCCACCATCGGCGAGGAGCCATCAAACAGGCCAAAGTTCACATCGTCAAATGCCACGAGTTCAGCGCCACGTTCTTCCCTCAACCAACCTTCTGCTCTGTGTGCAAAGAGTTTGTCTGGTAGGCAGCAAACTGATACATATCAAACCCCCTTATCTCTCATTTTCTCCATTATCATATGAGTCACTTCAACCTGTTTTTATCCACCACAGGGGTCTCAACAAGCAGGGCTACCAGTGCAGACGTAAGTATCTGAATATTTTCCACTGGCCTTCTGGATGGAAAAGTTCTAATTCTCACTTCTTTTTTCCTTTTCCTGTGTGTCTAACTGTGTCATCATTTGTTTTTTTTCAGAGTGCAATGCAGCTATTCACAAAAAATGCATAGACAAAGTCATCGCCAAATGCACAGGATCAGCCATTAACAGTAAAGAAACAATGGTAGGTGACACTACAGACGCTCTTTGTTCACTATTACTCATCTGTTCTTTAAATCTGTCAGAGCATAAGAGATTTGATCACGTGATCACGATGTGGTTAAGCTTATTATTAATAGATAGCAGGTATCATGACAGACATTTTTGTCTCATATTCAGCTTTTATCTTCTTGCTCTTGTTTCACTTCCTCCTCTAATGCATCGCATGAAACCAAAAGAAAAGGAAAAAAAAACTCATGTAGTAATTGACATTCTGTGTTTACACTTTCTGGAAACAGAAACTTCTGAAACTGCAGGGCTGGATCTGTACGAGTATCTTGTCATTAAAGGCTTTATATGCGATTTTTTGATCCAGCAGATGTCGCTCTTGAGCACCAGCATGAAACCAAAACAACTCGCGCTGCATTGTTGTGTTAGCATGCTAATGCTAGTGATCTTTATTATGCTGGTATCTTCACACTGCATGTAAATTTACCTGAAATGAGCGTGATCTAGAAACACAGTTAAGCAGTGAGTACAGTATGTTATTCTTCTTTTCTCTAGTCCCTCAATTAAACAACTTTTATACACGAGGGGAGGAGTCAGCCGGCCGTCCTAACGATGTAAACAAAGTGAAGATAGGACTCTGAAAACTCTGAAAACATCACAGACAGTGGGACTCGGGTGTTACACCCATTGTAGACAGTCATGACTCACAGAGTTATTTTCAGAGAATATACTTGATTTATATATTTAAGTGTGAAAAATCACATATAAAGCCCTTCCTCTTGTGTGATATTTTGTGCTGTGTTGCAGACCCACAAGGAGCGCTTCAAGATCGACATGCCGCACAGGTTTAAAGTCTACAACTACAAAAGTCCCACCTTCTGCGAACACTGTGGTACTCTGCTGTGGGGGCTCGCCAAGCAGGGGCTCAAATGTGAGGGTGAGAGGCAGGAGATTTATCATTTCTGTCGTTTAATGTTAGATAAATGTTCTGTAAAGAAACCTGACTGATGCATGTAGAATTAGGCCAGGCATGAACTGTGCGATTTCAGCACGATGTAGACCTGTTTTTTAAGTCGCATGACTAATTTAACAGTTGTTAGTTTTGCAGTGTACAGGGGGGGCACGACGGCTAATCCCGGCCCGATCAGCTGCTCCTGTTTGTTGTAAAATAGGAAACATAAATACAGATGCATATCTCAGGTCACGGTTCAAGGACCATGAAATCTGACGTTTCCATCTAACCGACCTTTATCGGGTATAATCGGTCGTTTAAACGTTGTATGCTCAAATGAATGTATCAGCATAAAGCGTGGCTTTATTGTCGTTTGAATTCACTGAACACCAGCAATGATCGAGTCCACAATATGACAGGATATCTGTCCAACAGCTGGTTCAACAACATTTGCTCCAAATATTGCATGTTCTGGATGTTCGAGCAGAAACACACTGCAGCTGTCATAGCAGCTGGCAGAAGAAGTGCTCGATAGAAAACATGACCATGCTCATACAATCTGAGTAAAAGGAGTTAGGGTTATTTTTTCTGTTTTGTGTTTCATTGGAATAAATAAGGGAAAAATAAATCCTCTGTAATAGAAATTATCAACCCATCAGTCAATTTAAATAAAAGGTTATTAGCTTTATCTTGCATCAGTGACATTTTTAGATACAAAACTGTTGTCTAATGTATTTTAATAATATGCTTACATGTGGTAATGGTGAGTTTTTTGTGTGCAGAATGTGGCATGAACGTGCATCACAAATGTCAGAAGAAAGTAGCAAACCTCTGCGGGGTGAACCAGAAACTGATGGCTGAAGCTCTGGCCATCATCGAGAGCAAACAGCAGGTCAGACACACAAACCTTTCTGCTCTTTTATAATCAATTCACACCATATTGAAGCTCTCAATATGTGGATCACATTATACCAAAACCAGCAAAATCTCATTGTGATGTCGGTCCTACCTTTTTACTTTTAGGCCAGGACCACCAAAGACACTGAAGTCATCAGTCGAGAAGGTCCGGTGAGCGTCAGCCAGCCGGGAGTGGTCCGAGCTCCGTCTGGGTTAGTGACTGGTGTACCAGCCACAGCTACACCTGCAAATAAAGGTAAGCTACCAATCAAATCTCAGTTCATAAAAACTCTCATTTTCTTATTGAGAATCTTTTTAATATTGTGTGGTCGCTTCCCGACCTGCAGACACTCAGGGTGTTTCATGGGACGGACCAGTAGACGGCAGCAAGTTGATCACAGAAGAGGTGCCGGATGAAGAGCCTCTGTACGCGGTTCCCAGGAAGGACCACCAGCCCAAATTCAACGTTGATGACTTCGTCCTGCACAAGATGCTCGGCAAAGGCAGCTTTGGGAAGGTACCGGACATAATCTGAAAAAAAAAAAAGAACAAAGCAAACTCAGCACAATTTTAATAACAACAAAATGAGCTCAGGGTTAAGAGTGAAGCTCTCAATCATGGTAACTAACTTCCTCTAGTTGAGTGTTTTATCCCAGCAGCAGTGTCTATTAGAACTTTTACTATTGTTTTGTGTTTTACTTCACTTTTCATTTTTGCTTTTACGTGTTTTTATGATGTTTTGGATGTAATGTATTTTGCCTGATTTACTGTACAGCACTTTGGTCTGCCTCGGCTGTTATAAATGTGCTATATAAATAAAGTTGACCTGACTTGACTTGACTTGAGGCATACACACAGAAAAGACTGAAGTCACAGTAGCAGAGTCTAGAAAAATATTTGAGTGTCTTCATGGAACTTCTTGCAGTTTTTTATAGTTGTTTGTTTATTTTCCATTAGTCACCTCACCTTTGATATTCATTTTTTACCCCTTTCAACATCATGCCTCAAACCAGCAAACTGTGTCTTTGTTTGTGCAGCCCGTTTCTAAATAAAACCTCTGACTTCTACTTGCTTTTATGTAGGCAGGTTTTTACATCAGCCCGGAAAGGGGGCGTAAGAAATGAGTGAACAACAGAAAAGAAAATATGTCAACCTCAAAGCTAAAGAAGTTATGTGTTTGTTAACTTTTCAGGTGTTTTAGCAGAGCTGAAAAGAAGCGGGCAGTTTTACGCAGTGAAGGCTCTAAAAAAGGACGTGGTGCTGATGGATGATGACGTGGAGTGCACCATGGTGGAGAGGAGGGTCCTCTCTTTAGCCTGGGAAAACCCTTTCCTTACACACCTTTACTGCACCTTTCAGACCAAGGTGTGAATCGTGTTTAGTCAGGACACTCTCACAGCTCATCCATACACATTTCACGCTAAACCTCTACCACCCTAACCCGTCTTCATTTTTGCGTCCAGGAGAACCTGTTCTTCGTGATGGAGTATCTGAACGGAGGAGATCTCATGTTTCACATCCAGACCTGCCACAAGTTTGACCTGCACCGAGCAACGTATGTATCCCAAAATCTACAACATTCAACTTAAAGCAACCACAGGTTAAGAAATAAGCCAAGGTGAAAGTTTCAAAATCCTCAGTTCCTGGAATAGCCAAAGTCAAAGTTAAAATATCCAACTCTACAGCAGAAATGTGTTCACAGACAGGTACAAAAAAACAGTTTTGCTCAGTATAGCTGATTTCCCCATTTGCGTCAACTTTGGGAGCACATTTGATAAATAGCATTAGTTTGAATTATCTTTATTTAAATTGACCGCTTGGGTATTCTCTTTATCAAGCAAATATTATCTTCTTTAAACGTCTAGCTCAGAAAGAGAGTGTAAGATGCAAAACTTGAGGCATCAAATGGTAGTACACTAACCAATTGGTGCCAGCCCAATTGCTACGTCTACTTTTTTATAAAGTCTTTGGATAGGAAACACAACTAAACTTTGTATGAACTGGGAGGGTTTTTTTCAGATCTGGGTAGATTCATTTCACTTTCTGTGTGTGTGTTAGCTTTAACTTCATGCCTTTCAGTGTTGCTGTGACTTATTGAATAATGTCCCCTCTTTTCGTCATCCATTTGTTTTTTTGTGCTTCTTGGCTCGACAAATTTGCATCGGAAAAAGCTAAGGAAAGACAAAAACTAACAATTAGTATCTTTCCGCAGCTTCTACTCAGCAGAGATCATATGTGGGCTTCAGTTCCTGCACTCTAAAGGAATCATTTACAGGTAGAGTCTCAGAATAAACCACAAACAGAAATGAAACTGATGATGACTAATACACAAGAGGCCAAACTGAGAACTATGCTCTTCATAAAACCTCTTTATATCCTGTTGTTTCTCTTCAGGGATCTGAAACTGGATAATGTTCTGTTGGACTCTGAGGGTCATATAAAGATAGCAGACTTTGGCATGTGTAAGGAGAACATGCAGGACGAGTCCAGGACATGCACCTTCTGTGGGACGCCTGACTACATCGCTCCTGAGGTGACCACAGACTATATCTAATGGAATTATAAATAAATGGCTGTTTAAAAAAAAGTTGTATCCCATGTGGCAAAGATTTTAAAAGGCATATTAAGAAAAGCTGTACCCAAAACAGAGACGAGGACGACGGTTATAAAAGATTTGTGTTGTGAAATTGTGTCTTAGATCCTGCTGGGTCAGAAGTACAACAGTTCAGTGGACTGGTGGTCATTTGGAGTGCTACTTTACGAGATGTTGATCGGTCAGTCTCCATTTCACGGCCGTGATGAAGAGGAGCTGTTTCAGTCTATACGCACGGACAACCCTGTGTATCCACGCTGGCTCACAAAAGACGCCAAGGACATTCTGGTCAAGGTCAGCAACTGTGTTTGTTGGTGTGTTTTGATGGCTGTGCTTTCAAGGTGTAAGGAGTATTCCACTATTTCATCTCTAGCAGACTAATTCTTGATAAAAAAAAAATCTGTTTAATTCAGTTTTGTTGGATAAGAAGAAGAATATAAAAGAGTAAATTGATTGCTGGTGACTTTAACTTGACTACCTATATTTGCATGAGGCCTGAATATCTAAGGGTCATGTGTTTTTTTATTCCTGCAGTTGTTTGTAAGAGAGCCTGAAGAGCGTCTGGGAGTGAAAGAAAACATTAGACAACACAATTTCTTTAGCAGCACTGACTGGAATGCTTTGGAACAACGGCAGGTGGCGCCACCATTCAAGCCAACTTTAGTAAGTAGATCAGTTAATGCACAGCAGAGTCTCACTTTAGTCAAAAAAGACATACTGCAATAATAAACAATGTTTCTTGGTATTATGACATTCTATTCAACTGGACAAAAATAGTATTGTTAAGTTGTATTATGGTTATTAAAAAAATTCCCCTCCACCCTCACAGTCGTCGCCCAGTGACTGCAGCAACTTCGACAAAGAGTTTATCAACGAGAAGCCTCGGCTGTCGTGTGCAGACCGGACGCTTATTAACAGCGTGGACCAGACGATGTTCAGAAACTTCTCCTTTGTAAACCCGGGGATGAATCGGATCGCGGCACACTGAACAACAGACCGACAACCTACTACCTACAAACAAGTCACAACCAGCACTTCACAACTGTACCTGAAACAAACTACAGAGACTTCAGACCATGAATGTGACACATTTCAACTGTATTGAATAAATACTAATAAGAGGGTGTTCTTGATGTAAGGCACATACAGGGTCTTTGTTGTAAATCGTCCTGTCTCTCCAACTAATTGAGATTTAAGAACATTTTGGATCAAACAAATACAGTTAGACGTAATATAAAACAAAGCTCCCCTATAAATTGTCTTTTCAATCTCTTATCAGTATTAGTCATGAAAGCAAGACAAACTAATTATTTTCTAATAAATGCATATCATTCATTTAGATTAATTCATTCTAGAATTAAAGTTAGGGTGTCATTATCAATAGAAAATATGTTGTAAATAACTTAGTGCCTCATAATAGTTCTCACAAAATAAAAACTCAAACTATAGTCTTGTTATAATAATTCTCATTCTGTCTTATTCCATAGCTCCACATTGGTTGTAAAAATCTTTTAACAGTCCTTTATTGTGTAAATACAAATGTGTTGATATTCTGTATTGGATGTACTGTAGATCAGCTAATGTATAACAACGTTTTTGTTTACATGTGTTCTCTTATTGTACCTCAGGAGTCTTATTGATGCTGTAAATTGAATCGGGTACCTAGATCCCTGCGTACTGTAGATTTTATTGTTCTCTTTATTGTGAATCACGTACAATAAAATGTGTTCGTTTTTTTTCTACACATCTGTTTCTTTTGTTCCTTATTAAGGAAAAGCTTGGCAGATTTACTGGAGTTTGGATATGGATACCAGAGGAGACCCATGTCAGGTTTTCCACACAACATTGCATACGAGATTTAAATGACAGAAACCTATGCAGAGATTCAAAAAACTCACATTGTGTTGGGATTACTGAAAATGGTCTTCCATGCTCACACATGACATACAATATCTATATTGGCTTTTTTTATGAGCAACTTTAATCCCAGAAACACAATGTTGAATTGCACTGGTTTGAAATTACAATCAGGAAACTAACATAACAGCTCTAAATTCAACATCTCTGCAGCTCTATTTAAGACCAGCTTAAATGACAAAATTAACAATTAACATGATGGCATTGTGATAAACATCTCCAATTATTTGTTCAGTCACAAGCTGCATACTTCTACAGCAGGTTTTGCCTCTCATTTGAAAGTTTGAAATGTTTGAAACAACTTTTCTTAAAAAAGTCCAAGATTGTGTCCGAAAACAACCTAACTTTGAAATATCCTGCAGTTCAAGTGACAACACGTAGCCTACCGCCGTTTCGAAGATATTTCAAGTTTCTGCAGAGACTCTCTTCCGACAATCCGGTAGGTGGATTTATTAGTGTAAACAAAGATGGCGACCGGAAGTGTCATGACGCACTTCTTTTCTCGCGATCTAAAAATGAGACTTAGGAAAATTAGAATACATTTGTAGTCACTTGGATTCAATAGTAATGATATAAAAAATGATTAAAATTAATTTGGTGTCATTATTTTTTAAATAAAAGTAAATTCTAGCTACAATATCTGGTTGGTTAAAAAACAAAATTGGCAATTTAGAACAAAGTGGGGGTCAGGAAATGCCTTACAAAAAAAACAAAAAACGACAAATTTTAATATATACCAAAAAAGTAGTATGGTTTCAAATAAAACCAAATCAATAAATAAGTTAATTAAATTAATGTGTACAAATATTTAATGTAACTTGGCACATGACAGCAACAATGTAGGTTGTCTGCTGTCCTTTACACATTACATTGCCCACACCTGTGTGTATTATATTTATAAGTATATTTATCAAGTTTAGTATATCAACTCAGTACTTAAGTCTAAACATGGAAATAACTTGTGTTCTGCTTCTGGCCTTTCTAACAATTAATTACTATGTAAAATAACTGTATGTTTTTTAAGGCTGTTGTATTATTTTGTGTTACCAGTGTTTGGGTAGGCCTATCAGTTGGTGGTAGTGCGTTACTTCATATGCCTTAACCACCTTTAGAGAAAGTGGGGGTCCCCAGTCTATGGTACCCTTATCTTTGGGGTCACGAACTGAGAAGTTTGGGAACCCCTTAGAAAACAAGAGGCAAATATTTGTCCTCTGCAGCCAACAGAACATCTGTCATGCCAGCTAAATATTGCATATTGCAAAGTTGTAATTACCAAAATAGTAATAAACATTTACAATCCAACTTATAGTTTTTCTGCTTAGAGGTGTTTTTTTTATATTTCATGAAAAAGTGCTCCGGATGTGGTTGTAGTATACTGAATACACTGGGAGTCAACATATAGGTGCTGTGCAAGTTTATTTTAGTAATACAAAACTTGACCAAGCTGATCTAAGAGTTGTTTCCCATCCACACTTCCTCCATGGTTAAGCAAGATATTACATTCCTTGTGTGCAACAGTCAAGTGACACAAACACATACAGAGTTATGTCTTCATTTGATGGAACAAAAATGTAGGTGCTTTCGGACATCAGCAGTATTTTTGGGCACACACACACAACGTTTTTGTGATTTTTATTTAGTCATTCTTATGTTTGTAATGTTTTTACTTTATTATTTTTAAATACTTGGCATAGAAACAACTGGATGGCTATTGTGTAATCTCATAAGGGGAAAAAGTTCATCATGTTTCCACACATGGTCCTTACGACTCCAGAAGGAAGTAGCCAGAATCTCTTTATGTTTCATTCCATGGAGAATCCTTATCTCAAAATTCACACATCCATATTAAGGAGACATAGGTGAACAGACACAAATGCAATGTAACTTTTTGTTGTTGTTTTTTTAACATGAATCCTTTATGGTCAAGAAGGACCTGCATAGGCCACTTTAAAGGGCTAGATACTGTTGTAGTCCTGTGTTACCTTTGCAATACAGTACCAATGCAGTTGAAACACTACATAGTCTCCTAAATGTCTGTCTGTAATGGTTTGAATTCTAGGATGAACTTTTTGTCAGGTGAACCACACTCTACTCATTTCACGTTGAATAATCAAGCGATATGAGCTTTACATTTCATCTAATTAACACAAGACATGCCATTTTCTTGATCTGCAGGAGGCAACATGGTGTTGTTAGAGAATGACTTTTAATTGAATGTGATTCTAACATCAGTTCAGGAGTACAGTTATTTATCTCCTTCCGATGGTTCCAGCACCACTACTACGGTTTAGGTTACGGCTGAGTTGAGGGAAATGAACTGTAGGGGTTCTGGATGTAGGACCATAGAGGCCGAGATTTCTTGCTGCTGTCGACTTCCTTGGCTGCTTGACACTTGGGAATGGGGAAAAGACCTGCTGTTTCAGAGTGATGGTGCCATTGGACTGGAACGCTGGGGTAGAGGGGGAGGATGTCATATGCGACCCAGACGATGAGGAGATAGAAGAAAGTGAGGGAGTTGAGGGAGAGGACGTTTTGTAAAAAGCTGAGGATTCTGGAAGAGGGAGAGAGAAGAGGTCATTGGCTGAAGTGGATGACGGGAGGCCGGATGTAGAGCTTGGTGTCGGGGTGGGTGATGGTGTTGGAGAGGACGAGCAGGACAATTCCAGAGAAGTTGATGTAGGGACTGGTGATGTGGACGGACTCATGGTGGAGGGTGAGGAAGAAGGGATGTTGAGGGAGTGGCTGGGTGGAGGTAAAGCAATGGAGGAAAAGTGTCTGTCAGAGGCAGTGCTTCTTTCTGAACCTGAGGAATCAGAATCTTTGTGCCGGTTTGAGGCTGGCGGAGGAGGAAGAAGAGGGACTTTGGTTCAGGTTTGGACTCTGGTAAAGTGTGATGTGCATCTGTGTTGTTGATGGAGGTCAGATTTGTTTGGTTCTCTAGATCCAGGGAGTCCAGTTGCACAACTACCTCAGCAACTTCTGCATCATTTATCCCATCAGCAACCTGCGAGCCTCTTCACAGCCTGACCCTGCACCCGATGGATCTGTAGATGGAGGCTCAGAGAATTCACTTTCGCATTTCTGCTCCTCATCATCTTTATCTTCTTTGAACTTTCTCTCTTCACCCTCCAATCCTGCTGATTCTGCGTCTTCCTCCTCATCTTCCCTTTCCTCCGAGTCTCCGAACCCCAGCTGTGCTCGGGCTCTGGCAATATTCCTTCGATGCACCCGGACATGAGCACGCCAGGGCGACCCCATGCCTCCTCCAGGGCTGCCAGGAGACGCAGTGCAGTTGTAAGGAGTTGATCCGCAGCGCTGCCTGCCCGGAGAGCCCTGATTCTGGGACAGAGAAGCAGGTCGAGACCCGGGGAGTGTTGACATGTTAGTGGATGCGAGTCTTGAGCTTCCACCGCATTGTTTGCGACCCAGAAGGAGGTGGTTGATTACTGTGCTGGACGGGTTGAGCTGGGAGGGCAGCACTCGGGTGGCGGGGCACTTGTCTAGGGGGGAAGGTTACAGGAAAGACACAAAAATACATTAAAACAGGCTTACAAAGAGACGCCAGCTCCAGATGTATGAGATGCATGTTTGGTGAGTGCAGCTGAATTTTTCTACACAGATTTTTGCTCAATAATGTGATTTGTCTAAAAGAATTGTCAAAAAGAACCCTAATATATGAAACTTGAAATAATGTGATTCTGATAGATTTAAACTATTATATTTAAGCATTTTTTGCATTTGCATTTAAACTACATTTAAGTTTAATTTTTAATCATGCAGATGCAACAGCTTGGTTTTATTTAGGAAATGAGTCAGCTCTTCAGGGCATCAGACACCAGAGGGCACCAAAGTGTTCTAGCATCAGTTTTGTGTCTTTTCTCCTCTTAAGGATTTATCCACTAGGCCTCTCACAGAATGAATCTTGTAGTATTTTGGATTACAAGCCAAGTGCATTACAAAACATGTACAGTAATGCACAGTATGTTGTTCTTTTTTCAATATGCAGAAGAGCTTTACTGAGATTTTTTTCTTGGTGATGATTAGTGTCAAAGCAGAAGGGTGAGTGTATTTAAACTTGTGGACAGATGTTTGAATCTGAAATAGAAAAACAACATTCAATCGCACAGTAATACTGTTATACAAGCCTCACAGATCATATGTTAAGGATTGAGAGCGGCAACGACCAGAGGTTAGTAATAGAAAGCCAGAAACAGCAATCATTTTAAAATCAAATGAACTGATGGAGACATCTGTCACTGCTGAAGATATGCTCTGTGTTTATTTACGGGAATCATTGGTGCATTCAAAGCACACAGTATTTTGGCTTTATTATCATTGGGAATGTGTTAAAATTTAGATAGCTGAAAACCTTATGGGTTTCCTGTGTAGAGCAGCCAACACAAATTTAACAAAACTGTTTCTTTAAATCAAATTATATATCTAATGGACACATGTTCAGTAGTGGCAGGTTTCTCCTAATTTATATATAGAGTATAACAGGTTTATTGACTTTAATTCTGCATGAACCACCTGAATATAGAAAACAAAACCATCACCAGTTGACAATATTACCAATACCAAACCAGCTCCAAAGTAGTCTACCATCCACCTTTAATCATTTGAATCCAAATTAAATTTCCTCAAATCAGCCCAGGAGTGCCCAAATTCAAGAAAGCCCTTTTGTTTAGACACCAGTACCATCATCGTGGTGGTTAGTACTGTCGCTGAGTTCGTCTGGATGCTCCTTAGGAACCCCGGGACTTGTGGTCATTTCAGTTTCAGGTCCTGTGAGTCACACATCATCGTCAAACATCCAACTTTTCAATTACGCTGTTTGTAATTCTGTCACACCACTGAGGAAGCATCGTCTCATCAGTGTTTGTTTTTCTGTGGTAGTGCTATGATATGATATGATATGGTCACAGTTTTGTTTGCAGAAGAGCGAGCTCTGCCTGAACTGGTTTTTGTGTTTTAATAGACTTGGATGTAAACTGCCACTGAAGGCAAACAGCACGCTAGTGTTAAGGCAAGTATGAGCAAGTATTCTGTAAAGAAGCTACGGTTTATTTATCCAACAGAAGCAGGTTAGATCATCATGTAAGCCCTGGTCATCAAGCAACAGCCATTGACATGATGTAGATTAAACCTTTACCACAGGGGTGGAGCAGAGATGTTAAAAGTGCGGGTGTTCTGATGCTAGTATATTACCACCCTCTAGCAAATCAACACATTCTGTTTTATTTAATGTCCAATAACTAATGTTAGCTGACACATTATACAACAAGACAAAGTTACAAAAGATAATTAGACACTAACTTTATGAACATCCATTGTGAGTAACCCAGTTATCTCTCAAAACGAGATTCAAAACTACTCTTTGTGATGCTTTTATTTTGCTTTTCTTATTGCCTTATGCCTCGGTCTCTTTATTTCCGGTCTTCATATATAATGTGCTTTTATTTTGGAAAAACTGCAAAGGGACTTCGGCTACGGGAGTAAATAAATACAGCTAAAAGAACAACCAATAGGAAAAAAGACACGCCTGCTTTACCACCACAAAAAGGCAGCCATCACTTCTCCGCCCCTCACCTGTGCGGATGTAGAGCTGCATGGCCTGCTGCTGCTGCCGCCTCTTGATGCGCGTGTATTGCTTCTTCAGGGCGTAGATGTCTGTGCTCATCCTCTCCATCATCATGCTGTTGATCGCTGCTTGATGCTCTGCCCTGGCCCCTCCTCCTCCTCCTCCTCCCCCACCTCCTGCCCCTCCAGCTCCCACTGCTCCCGGGCTCAGCTCTGCGATGTTCCCTTGCTCCGATCGCTGGTCTACAAATTGAAAAACAACAACATACTGATCAGATCTTGTGTTGGGTTTATTTATCCCAACATTAAAATCCCTTTTGTTTGCTACTTGTTCATCTGAATTTTTTGTTGTTTACTTGGTTATTCCGAGAAAACTGAGTCACTCATTCCTGTTTGTTTTTCCTTTGATGAGGTTGGAAAAGAAAACAGGCTTTGAGGACAGGGTAAAGTGTGTTTGACATTTACTTCACTCAATTTTTGTTTTCTCTTTACCCTTAAAGAGAAAGGTCAATGTATTTTATCCTCCTTTTTTTTTCCCCATCAGCAGGCCGGCCTCCCTTTGTGCTACAAATCCAGGTCAAATTGGTTTGTGATGTGTTCTACTTATGAGGTTAAATGAAGCCCTTCATTTCTCTTGAAACCTCTCTGGAGAACCAGACTTCAGATCTTAAGCGATGTTTTATTTAATCTAAATCCTTCAGGCTGTTTGTATTTTTTAACATCTTTGACGGAGCCGTTGAACTAGCAGGAAGTGGGGGATTTGTCTGGAGGAAACAGATCAGAGACGACGGTTTGTAATTGGAGTCAAATTGAGGTCAGGACAGGAGGATTTTGGGTGCGGCAATTTGTCTTGATCTACTTGGCTGATGTCTGTGTAAACTCTCCAGTGGGTTGCAGTTTTTAGAAAGCCTAAAGGAGAGATTAATGAAGCCGCACTGACCTTTGATATGTTTCTGGTAGCGCTGCAGCTCGGGGGCCAGCAGGCCACCCAGGGGACCCAGGCAACCGAGCGCCGTCACCATTGAGTCTTCGTCATCCATGTCGGCATCGTCGTCGCTCTCCCAGCTGCCCAGACCGCCACTGGAATGAGAAAATAACATCGTCAGACCATCACTGCCACCAGAACAAATTTAACACACCTCCTTCTAGATCAAATTTGGACACAAATTAAGTAATTCTCTGAAGATTTCCTAAATTATACTTTTATTTCATGTATACTGATGATTTTAACATTTAAATTTAATAAGTCTGACCATCAAAACAAAACCATCTTCAATAATGGATTAAATTAAGGGTGTAGGGACTGGTTTTAAGACATTAAAACGATAATCAGCATGTTGAGAGATTTTAAATATTAAAGTGTCTTAGACTTGTAAAGAGTATTGACCAACCTGCCGTTGGATTTGACCGAGGTCGGGAAAGGAGTGATGTTGTAGGTGTACTTCTCTCTCAACTCAGCCAGCTGAGGGAACGGAAACACGGCGATGGAGTAAACCTCCTGAGGAACAAAGAGGGGAGAGGGGAAGGCGGTAAACGATTAATAAATAAACATTTTTAACATGATATTGAAGAAGTGTACACGGTTTGTTGTTTCCGTACCTGCATGAGTTCGGTGGGATCGATGAGGTTGTGCTCCAGCATCTCCTGAGTGAGACAACCCATCGTGCTGTAGAACTCGTCGGCTGTGTGACAGTACTCGATCCTCCTGGACGCAGAGAGAGACGGAGGAAGAGAAACAGTGTGTATGAGATGAGGATCAAGGAGCAGACAAGAAAAACAGAGAGAAGAACCCAGAGGAGCATCCAGACGACAAACAAAAACAGAAAAAAAAAAACCCTGATATTGTCTATTGCTGCCAAAATCCATATTTCTGTAACTGATGTTGTTGCACTCACTCTCCCAGTCTCTCCCAGATGGCGAGGGCGACTCTGAACAGCACCTCTGAACCCTCGAAGAACACCGAGTCCCAGATCTTCAGGACGGTGGGCGCAGGCAGGCAGGTGGCGAACATGGTGAGGAACCACTGCATGGTGAACACGTTGGTCAGCGGAGGCTCGTAGCTGCCTGAGAGAACACACACACACATCACAGGTCTAGATTTATGACTTTCACCCTTTAAATTCAGATTTTTGTTTTTATATCGCTCTGATCTCTGTTTGTTAACGATTTTTTATGACTGTTTGTCTAAATGAAATGCAGAGATCTGTACCTCCGGCCTCTCGGTTTGCAGCTTTCTGGAGATGGTGGAGATGCTGGGAGAGTCGGGGCAGCTTTAGACGCAGCAGGTCTCTGAACACGGCCATGTCCACTAAAGAGAGAGTTAAATATACACAGTACATAAAGACACGTTAGTTAGAGATTCAACATGACAGTGACCTGTTACCGGCCTTTAAGAAGCATTCTTGCACAAAAATAACTGATGTTTAGCAGAAATGTTGTGGATTTAGATTCTGTTGATCTACTAATGCCTTTCCTCTTCAGTGTCTTAAAACAGATCGATCTGTTTCCAATGTATCTGCAGCATTTAAATCACTAATCAACTTTAAATCAAGGCAAGTTTATTTATGTCGCACATTTCAACAACAAGGCAATTCAAAGTGCTTCACAAAAGACATCAAAAGCATCATGACAGAGGAAAGAAAAGAAACATTAAAATAGAACATTTAAAAAATCATTGAAATTATTAAATCTGAAAATATGTTCAAATAAAAAATAATTCAAATTAAATTACTTGAAATAAATAAATTAAAAATATAAAAAGAGTTAAAAGTTACAGTGCAGAGTTAAAGTTTAAAATCTTATTCAAATTGTTTAATGAAAGGCAGCTGAAAACAGATTCTGCACTTTTGTTTTAGAGCCTTGTGGAGCTAGTAGCTCATAATATGTTAAAGCAGGTACTGTCTCTTCTTTTTCACCTCCTATTAAGTATGAAATCAATCACAGAGTGTCTTTGTGTCTTTTGTTTTTACCTGACAAAGCTCGCAGGTTGTTGGCAAAATAACTCTCTGGTAGCACTTTGTCAATCAGATAGATCATCACCTGGAAGTAAAGGAAACAGAAAAGAGAACAGTTTCAGATTTATGTCCGTAATCATATTCAACATAGAAACTCCACCTCTCTCTCTCGCTCTCTCTCTCTCTCTCTCTCTCTCTCTCTCTCTGCACTCAGCAGAATGTTTAAAATAATTATTCCAGTGTACCTTAAGTGCATCGCTCTCATCGCCCTCAGTAACTTCCAGGATAAGTGCAGCCAGCACATTGAATCCTTGGCAGTATCCCACAGATTTATTCCAGCGGGCATACGCAAGCAACACCCTCTTCAGCACCACCCTGTCCTGCTCCCCCTCCTGGCCACAGTAAGAACTGCAGCCCGTCCTGTGCAGGTCCTAGACGACACAAAAAATGCAAAAAGTGTGAGTGTTTTTTTTTTTTTTTTTTTACGGAATATTTTGTGGATGAATGAATTGAAGCTGTTAGGACAGACACAGTGACCTGAAGAGAAATAGAGCAGACAGTGTTTGGACTTTGCTCTGCTGGTTGAAATCTCTGAGTCATGGAGGAATTTAAAAAAAAAGAGCTCAAGTGTTTCCATGATGCAGTCATCCCGCTCTCTGACGCACACAAACAAACATCCTCTCCCGGAACATTTATCTCCACAGTCACAACGACGTTATCCTATTAATGCAGAGGCTCATTTTCAAACTCACATATAGTGTTACAATGCAGGATGTCCATCGTAAACGTGGGCAACCATTGGCTGAAAATCCTTTAAAGATGTGTTTACACAGGAGAACAGCACAGAGAACGGCTGACTAAATAACACACAATGCAGAAAGACATTCATCTTAGTCCCCCACCCCTAAACCTCTCACAATACCACGCGGTTACCTTGACGATTTGGATGCCGAGGGAGTCGTCGTCCGGGTTGCTGCGCTCGTTAAAGGCGAAACGAAGCGTCTTGTCCCAGTCGATGGAGATACTGTGGAGGTACTGGTCTGCTAGAGTCAGCCAAACCTGCACACACAGACAACAGACACAGATTTAAAAAACACATGAATCATGAGCTGATATCAACAAGTGAAATTGAAAAATTAGATACCCAGTCCTTTTTTAAGCATGGTCCCCATAGATGATTTAACAGCCATATGAGTAATATTCTCATGCTGCAGGTGTTAGCGCTGTTGCCTCATAACGAGGAGGTTCCTGGTTTGAATCCCCGTCAGACAGGAACTTTCTCTGTTTTTGTATTTTCTCCTAGAACATGTGGGTTCTCTCGGGGTGCTCCGGCTTCCTCCCTCATGCTCGTTAGATTAACTGGAGACTCTAAATTGGCCAGTAGGTGTGAATGTGAGTGTGGCTGGTTGTCTGTCGCTATGTCAGCCCTGTGATTGGCTGGCTATGAGTCAAGGTGATCCAGCCCCAAAGCAGAAGCACTATAGATAATGGATGGATGGATAATATTCTCTTGTTTTCTTGTGAGAGTGATTCATGTTGTTTTGCAAGTTCAGGAGACAAATTAGAGATGTTGTTGTTCGATCTCCTCGGTCAAGATGAAAGTAAACGCTGCCGTCTCTCTCTCTCTCTCTCTCTCTCTCTCTCTCTCTCTCTCTCTCTCTCTCTCTCTCTCTCTCTCTCTCTCTCTCTCTCTCTCTCTCTCTCTCTCTCTCTCTCTCTCTCTCTCTCTCTCTCTCTCTCTCTCTCTCTCTCTCTCTCTCTCTCTCTCTCTCTCTCTCTCTCTCTCTCTCTCTCTCTCTCTCTCTCTCTCTCTCTCTCTCTCTCTCTCTCTCTCTCTCTCTCTCTCTCTCTCTCTCTCTCTCTTCCTGAGAGATAAATGTATGAGGATGTAAGATGAACGGCGTGCTGTGGACAAAGTGCTTCTGCATGTTGTTCTCTCAGACCGCACTGGTTCACTCAAGACCTTTGATCTTTACTCGCAGGTCAACGATGATGATGTTTGTTTTTTTCATAGTAACACAACTGGGATGTCACTAATCGTCACCTACTTATCGTTGCCATGGAAACACTGGACGTTACATCAAAGACTGCTACATAAGGAAGCTACGTAATGTTACATACCCTCTTCCTCCATTCCTTCGGGACCCCTGTCGGGAGTCTGGCCACTGCTTTGAGGGCATCGTACCACTGCAGGGAACAAACACACACACACACACACACACACTGCTTTATTAACTCTTTTAATTAGCCGACACATTACCACTGAGGCTGAGGCATATTGAGCAATGTAGCATCAACTCTGAATGTCTTTAAACTATCATTTAACTGATGACAGCAGAGAGAAAAACTATACTTTGCATTATGAATACACTCTCACATTAAAACACTGAAGAGTCTGAACACATATTCACACTGCATTACAGTTAAAAGTATAAAATAATAGAGTGTAATATTTACCTGCTGGAATCCATTCTTCCCCAGCGATGGTTCGATGGTGAACTTCAGTCTTGTGTCAACTCCTAAAAGCAAACAGAGACACCTGGTCAGACTCATGCGGACGCAGATCTAGGCCACTTTCATTGTTCTAGTCCTGGAGGCTTTCCATTACGCAATGACCCGTTTTACTGCAGTTTGTTTAGCGGACACTTTGCGCTCTTCCACATGACACGGATACAAAGCAGGAGAGTTTCCTGATAGCAGAAACAAACAGTGAACGTGACACATGGAGACGGGTAGATGTGAACAGGTGATGGACTACAGGCAGCCAAGACACACACTGCTGCAGATTTTCACAGTTTAATAATTGAACTCTGTGACCTCTAAGAAGGCTGGGTGTAGAGCAGATGATGAATGAATGTATGAATCAGTCACTCACAGTTACAATCATTTGGTTCAAACTTGTAAAATATCAGGATTTGTTGCTTTTCATTGGTAACTGGGAGAGTAAATGTCAAGTAACGAAGTACAAATACTGTTACCTTAAGTAGAAATTTTGGGTATCTATAATTTACTGCAGTAATTACTTTTCAGCTGACTTTTTACTTCTACTTCTTACATTTTCACACAATTATCTGTACTTTCTACTCCTTACATTTTAAAAATAGCCTCGTTACTCCTATTTCATTTCGTCTTGTCATCGTTCAAAAAAAAACAAAGACCTATCCAGATAAATCGCGCCATCCGGATAGAGTGAATTTGATTGTGGTTGGATGAGAAGTAGAAACATATATCATTCCATCACGTTGTGGCGAGGCCTAAGCTTTTGTCCTTAATGGCATTTTCCCCCTTACATTACTTTTACTTTTATACTTTAAGTCGTTTTGAAACCAGTACTTTTACACTTTGAGTAAAACGCTTGAGTTGATACTTTAACTTCTACAAGTCTTTTTAAAACCCTAGTATCTATACTTCTATGTGAATACTTCTGACACCTCTGAGAGAACTTCTTGGTTTCTGAATGTTTGTAGGACAAAGTGAAGATGTAAAATTCGGCATTCTTGACATTTTTACATTTTACAAAAACGTTAGCAGACCACATGTCCTGTTGTAGTTTATAATAAAACCCCTTCAGGACAGGAGAAATATCTAGTGCATTGCCCCTTCTCTAAAAACATAACTTGGACAAGTTTAAAGATGCTTCAAAGAGAAGGGACAGGCTGGAGACTTTTTACAGAAATCAAAAGATCTGTTTAAAAAAAACTACAAATCGATCGAGCTAAACACCAGAAGTAAGGTTTTGACCCCTGCACCAAGCACCCCAAGAGAAATGCACACTTTGTATTGAAAACCATGTTGTATCAAGGAAAATATACTTTGTCATGCTGGTAGTTTTCACATTTAAACATCGATTCTTTTGAACGGAGTCTGGTTACGTTACGCGGAAGTGTCGCTGTCCATTTCCGCGTGGTGCTGAATCCGCGTTTCAATCTTCTTAAAGCTTCTCTTTAAATCGTTTAAAATCCATTTGCCCACACCAAACCAACATCTTAAATGATTTTTCTAAACCCCCTCGCCCCCCGTCCTGCAGACAAAACGGAAATGAAAGTTTCGACGTGCAGGTCGTGACATGTCTCGGCTCGGGGCCAACAGCTCAGCCAGCGGCCATGTTTCTCCCTTTCCCCTCTCTCTCTCTGGAGGATCGACCAGAGAGAGAGAGAGAGAGAGAGAGAGAGAGAGAGAGAGAGAGAGAGGCTGCCGAGTTAACTAAAAGTACGAGTAACATCGTTTTCACCTCCAACAAAAGTCCCTGTCCCGGGATAAAATGTGTGATCAACCTGTTTGCTCCGCCTCTGTCGTTTTGTCCTGCGCCATTCTCCCGATTTAGTTTGCGTGCGTTTTTTCCTGTCAGATCTTTGGGAGAGGATTAACAGTGAAAACCCTCCTCCTCCTCCTCCTCCTCCTCCTGTCACAGATTACACCGACACAACTGACACACAGCCCAGCTGAGGACCGAGACATCAGAGACAGGGGGCAGAGGTTTCACTCTCTTATAATAAACGAGATTTTAAATGAAGTCAAATTAAGTCAGGTGGAGGATGTGGAGGGAAGCTGATAGAAAGAGCAGGAGAAAGGGGAAGTAATAAATAAAAGGGGTGAGAGAGAGAGAAAGAATCCAGCAAGGAGCGATGGCAGTTTTAGTTAAATTGGCAGGAAGAAAAACAAAACATTTAAAAAAACCTACAACATTTTTTGGGACCATAAAATGGTTTTTGAAATGTGTGCGCTCTTTTGCTTGGCCAAAAATTCCCTTTGAAAAATAACACACCGCTCTACCCAATCACAATTGAGCAGTCTGTATTAACTTTTTTAAATTTGGTTGATTTTGATATTTGCCATTTTTGTACAAAGAATTGAAGGTTGTTTTTTTAAAGTGGGGTCCCCACCCGAGCCTGATGAAATATAGGGGTCCTTGAAATGGAAAAGTTTGGGATCCCTTAATCTATAGAGCTCTTGTTTGTAATATCTGGGTTAAAGGTCCTTACTCATTTGATCACAGAGTTACCAAACACATGAACAAAACACAAACAGCACTGGATGTTATCTGACTCCAAAGAGATTTTCTGTATTTCTTTAAATTACTTTCCAGAAGTGAAGAAGTATTGAGCGTCATCTGGTCCTACCTCACATGTTCGGTGAGAGTGATACATGATTAAATAACAGAAACCCAGCCTGCACCTTTAATCGCCCTGTGTGCTCTCATGATTTGATTTAAACTCAGTGGAGAAGTTTTACCATCAGGTTTAATTCTCTCTATCTGTTGGAAATGAACTCATGTGACACTCTTATGGAAACTGGATGGTTTTGTTACAGCTAATAAGTTAGATCCATTAAAGTGTTTGTGACGAGGCAAAAGAGAGTCATTTATCAGTTGGTGAATTTGTTTTTAAACTGATTAAACACCGTGTGTCTCATATGTGGTACCTTAAAAAAAATGTTTGTATTGAGCTACAATTTGAAATGTCTCCATGTGTTTGTACGGGGTATTTTATGTGCAGCATGCATGCAAACCATCTTACTAACCGATCTTATTATTTCTCATTAATTTCTTCCATACTTTGTCTTTACATTTCCATTCATTTTTGTAAGTATTAGTATTCACAATAAATTAAACAAAGATTATAAAAACGTAATTTTTTCTATAATAGGTATTAAAAAATGTAAATGTACGTTTAATTTTGTAGTCATGTAGTTCCCTTTACTTTAAAAAATGTACCTGACACTGAGCTCAAATCAAGCTGACACCTGATGTACATTGATTATAAATGTTATAGATCATTCTTATTATCTAATACAATTGTTTTGACAGCACAAATGCGTCAATATGGGAAAGAAATACTTAAAATATCACTTTTTGTTCTTAATTTTGTACATAAAGTAACAGAATTTAATGAGACAAAGTGTTAATAAAATCAGGTCTCTTAGGCAGTAAAAAAAGGGGGAAAAGAGAGTATGAAGGATGACATCTGCATGAGAGCAGCTACAGATTTGAAAGGCATGGCCCTACATGACCCTGCGCTTACATGCAGTATATTGCCGAGTTTTCTCTGCACTTCATTTCCTACAATAAACCGCCATGATCCGGACCTGCAATGCTCTCACGGCTCACCTGGCTCCAAGGTGCAGAGCAGCCGCGGTGCACTCCGGGATATCCCGTTCCGTTTCTTCAGGACGTTGCTGATGATGTTACCGACCCCTCCCGCGCTCTGCTGCCGCTGCCTGGCGCCCGCCCTCGGCCTCCTGCCGGCGGAGTAGAGCCGCTCCTGCCTCATCCGGAACCGGAGCGTTCAATCAGCTCATCTGCCTGGTCCCCCGCACGAATATAAAACCTCCTTTATGTCCTCTTTTGTGCTGATTAATTCATCCTGATATCCAGAGAGCAGCTGTTCTTCCAAAGGTTTTTACCTCCAAGGCGTTATAATCGATTACTCTGATTACCGCGTTTTCAATCGCTTCCGCTTTTCGCTTCTGGTTTCGTTTTATTCCCCGAAAATCCACGGACCTTTAACTCATCACTCAGCGGAGCAGCAGAAAGGAAGCGACTCAAATATCTGAATAAAATATGGGTTAGAAGTGTCTAAAATAGCCCATCGCTCTGTGGTTTGTGCAGCTTGTACCCGGCAGCTGCTGCTGCTGCTCCTCCTGCTGCTGATGCTGCACACCTCCTCATCCTCCTCCGATCTGACGTCACCAGGAGGAGGTGCAAGGATGGAGGGATGCGGTAGGATGGAGAGACACGCGGGGAGGAGACAGAGAGGATGAGGTAATGGAGGACAGAGGAGCAAAGCGTGAATAAAGAGAGCAGAGGTGGGTGTTGTTTTTTTTTTTTGTTTGTTTCATTAACCCAGATTGAGAGGGGAAGTGAGGCGGAGAGAAATGAAGCAAAGGGTGGCAAGAAAAGATTTATTTTTTGCATCAGCAGCATCATGAAAAAAAAAAAAGGTTGTGCAAAATGTGATGAAGAACAAATCAACTCATAAACCCCATGAAGCAAAATGACTGATAACCACATGAATCAATCACGTCAGCGACCTTTTTCTCTGCGGGGAGTTTCATCCAGGTAAAATAAATCATCTACTTGTGATGTCACAGTGGGATTCTGGTAAAAAAAAAAAAAAAAAAATGTTGCTGCAACTCAAGAACAGTTAATACTTAACCTCTATGCTCTCCTCAAGATTCAAATCTGCAAACTACTTCATGCTAACTTCTCAGAAACACAGATTGCGCGGTCAACTTCCTTATCGAGACGTTTGCAAACAAGAGACTTATCAACAAAAATGACGTTTGTGATCTGAAGTCGATGATGCACGTCCGCTTTAAGTGCTTCCTGGATGGAGAGTGAATGACTCTCTGAATCAATACGAGCAAACAGTGAAGATGACGATTAGAGGAAATGATCTGTGTTCACCTGTGGGCACCGCGGTAAACTTACAATTCTACAATTCACTTAGCAGACTCTTTTCTCCAAAGCGACGTACATCAGAGAGTAAGAACAACACAAGCAAGGATCTAGAAAAAAGGGAACAATGTGAGTAAGAGCAAACGATCAGCTTTGAGTCTGATTGGACACACAGGTGCTGACAGGAAGTGACCAGAGGCAAAGCACAACATTGAGGGCAGTTCTTGAGAGCTCTAATCAGTATAGAAACCATCTTATAAGTCGTCGTTATCAAACAAAAACCATCGTCATTACCATCATCATCATCAATAATATGGAGACCATCATCATTAAGTTAGTAGGTATTCATGAAAGAGCTGGGTCTTTAGCTTTTTCTTAAAGGTGCAGAGGGACTCCACAGATCACCTGGAGTTTGGAAGTTCATTCCACCACCGGGGGGCGACAGAGGAGAAGAGTCTAGTCAGCGTCTTGTCTCTTCATTCTTTAACTGTTAACATATCTATCTCTAAATCACATCAGGATGTTAAAATATTCACATTACTCAACACTGGAAAGTTAGTGTTTACACTGGCATTTGCACAGCCGATGACGGATGTAGATGGTTTTAAATTCCCGTGTAAAATGCCACCTGCAGACAGAAGCATGGTGTCTGAGACAAAGACTGGCTGTACTGGAAATATGAACACAACTCGTCTCTGACCCCGTGTGTAAATACCTCCAACAAGGACAAACACTTCCATTGTTGTTCAGTCCTGCTGAATGCTAACGAGTTATAACGATAAAAAAAAAATCAGACTTACAAACAAGAAGATCTAAATGACTTCAGTTGTGTTTAACCTTTTTCTTCACATGTCAAAAGAGATGATGTCGCCGTGAAGGAATCCCCCCCTGCTGTGATTCAGGATGTGTTTATATCGCACCACCGGAATAACGTCTATAATCTCTACCCCGGAGACATTAATTATGTTTTTTTATGCTCCTAAACGTCTCATAACAGAAGAGTCACATACAGGATTCTGTTTTTTGACACTGCAAACATGATTCTTCAATAATCTTAAACAGTTTATAATGTAAATATGAGAGTGATTTTCAGACTGCATGATGTGATGTGACGACTCTGGACATGTTCAAATATTCAAGTTTTTATTGGGTGTTTTTTCTGATTTATTGAATAACTTCTCCACACAACACCGCACTGGATTAGAAAAATGTGTTTAAGAGGGATCAAAATGTGCTTTTTGAGAAGTTTGATGTCTTAAAAACGATATCAAATGTGTCTCAAAGCAGTTTTTTGATGTTCTCTACAAACCAAAACTATTTATTGAAAGGAGAAGATATTTCTAGGGATGTCAGTTAAACATATTAGTAATGTTTTGATATGTTGGCTCTGGATGTCAATCAAAAAATATGTTCAAGCTGTAATACAGAGGCCACCACTAGGCGGCGCTGTTTGGCATGGTGACGTAGAAAATGGAGATGAAAATGTATGCAGGCTGCGTCAGGTTTTATAAAGTGGAAGCGCATTCAGAACAGAAATGTGGACGTTAACCTGCAAGGACTGAAGGCTGGCTTGTAAATTCATTGTGCTCAAATTTGACTGTTTTCTGAGGGGTTTTCTTACCTTTAGAGTAGAATGTTCAAATTAATTTATACTTCATTAAATCAATTTTAAATGAGTTTAAATGAGTCGGGAACGTCCCTACATCACCACAAACATGCTAAATGTTTTCCAGTCTTTTGTCTTTTCCCAGCACTAAAGCAAAAGAAGAAATGTGTTTCCTTACGTCGTTTCTGTGACACCGCCTGAAGACAAGCCGTGATGACGTCGTAGTTTTTCTGCATCTTGTGAAAGAGGCGGTCGCGTCTCTTCAGCTGACGGAGCAGCTTGGCCGACTGCAGACCTGTGCGGTACTTCACCTCCTGGATGATCGACTGCAGCTCTTCTGGGGCTGTAAACAAAAAAATATATAGAAACGTCCAAGTTAGATAAAAGGTTGCAGGGTGCAGGATAGCCTATAGCGGTTATGTTGCATGCCCCATGTACAGAGGCTGGAGTCGTCGTCGTCTCAGCGGCCGGGGGTTCAAATCTGACCTTTGCAATCCCACCAATAGAGTTGGTGAAAATTTATAAATTTTTACCCCAGATTCAGCAGCAAAGGGCGGCAAGCTGTCAAGTTTCGTGACCTCAAAAGCAATAACAAGCGCAGAGGTAGTTTCCATGATAAATGTCATATTTATCGGTTTGGTTGGTCACAGTGTCACAGCACAGAGAGGTTTCATTATTTCAGTTTGCACTCTGACTAAAGGTACTGATGTAGTTTGAAATACCATGTGACATCTTGCACTTCACCGTCAGATCAGAATATCACGCTCATTAGTCTGTTTCCAAGCTGCAGGCTAAGAACAAATGAAAACCAGAAGCCTCACACAAACACACTCCCATCTCATGTTCAACTAAAGGTGTTTCAAACCTATGACCAAAATAGACAACAAACCCGTGGAGCTGGATAATAAATTGTATATTTGTGTTCCATTCACTTACATTTTTAAAGGTGCACTATGTAGTTTTGGTAGAGAATTGTGAAAGTTGGAAAAATGTACAGATTTATGTCCATCATAACTCTAAACACAAACTGTCCTCAGAGGAAAATGTGCTCCCTGTGACAATGTTTGAAGATAAAATACTACGTGGGAAGTTATGGTGGTGGGCCAGGAACAGTATTGAAAAAGGTCATGACTTATACATTTAAGGATAATCCTAAAGAAATGTATTTTCTTGTGATATTTTAAAATGAAGTAATTACAATCATGAGTACGCTTACATATACTCTAGATGTATAAAATATTTTCAGTGGTTACACCACTTGACATTTTTAGGTCCATTCAGTCTGACCTTTTTGAAAAAAACATGTAAATGTAATTTTAAATAACACAAAACCAACATGAATACAAATCTCACATCTTAATGAACCTGATGCGTGCTTTCAAATTGTGTTTTAAACTGGTCATCTGAACAACCCTAATTTGTCACTGACAAGAGAGATAATCACCGGTACAACTGACAGTATGCAGAAGCAGAGGATATACTTCTGCTGTATTCATGTGTAAAAGGTCACACATTCTTCCTTTAAGGCAGAGGCAGACTACCAACTCCAACATCTTGCAGAAATGCTGCTTTTTTAAAGGAATCTGGTGGCTTCAAATAGAGAGCTGTATCAGCTGTTTCCCTCGTTCATTAAAGGTTCTGCCTCCTTCCTGTTATGATGCCAGACACTGAATAACATTTGAGCCTGTCTGCTGCAAAAAAACAGCTATTTTAGAGGACATACATACTGTGATAATGTGCATAAACATTGCAGCCGTTCAGACCTGTTTTGTACCTGCAGGCTGAAGAAATCTCCCGCAGAAAGTGTTTGCACATGCTAGTCATCCAGGCCCAAAAAATAAGTGTAAACAAGGCCCCAGGTTTAAAATATACAGCACATCCCCTTCCAACAAATGGATCTAAATGTCATCATAAGTTGGGGGATAATTCCTCATTAAACACTGTTTAAAAACTGTTCTGTGAAGCGTTTTTCACACTGTTTCCTCTTCCTGAGTGTCGGCTCTGTCTGCATTGTTTAAGTTGACTGCGCCTCACAGGTGATAAAGGGCAAACAGTGAAGTCGCAGACCTGAGCAGTGTTTACTGAAGGACTCCACTTTAACAGGAGGAAACAATGGGCAGCGTGGCAACTCACTGTAACGTGCCTTTGGAGACTCTGAGGCAACTGACTGTAGCACATGTGAGGAGCGGTAAATAAGCTGTCAGCGCTCTTTTCAGCGTCTGTTTGTGCATGCATGGCAGGATTTGCATGCCGTGAGACGTTTACTGTCCATCCAGTTAGCTCCTGCTGGTGTCTCGTGCTTGTAGGAATGTCAGCTATCATAAACTAAGAGTGAAAAAGACACTGAGCTCATCTCACGAAATGAATCCAATTGATTTCAGCTTTTATTAGATTTATCATTTGTTGTCTTCCTCCAAAGCTTGAGTGTACAAAAAAACTATTTAAAGTCGATTTATTGTATTTTCTACAAACGCAAACGCCCTCAACCTGACCTCATGGGCAGTAAAGGAATCAGATGGAGACGTGGCTGATGCACATTTTGTAGCTTCTTTACAGATAGAAGATAAAACTGAGTGTTTCTGCTTTGTTTTCCGCACATTCAGTCGTCATGGCAGGCCACTAACTTTAATATTTGTACCACTGCTTTCTTCCTCATCTCAAGGAAGCCCAGTTTTACAAATATTAAACTGGGCTTGTTTACCCAAGATGCATCTCTTCACCAGGTAAACACAGTGGAGGATAGTGATGATGTTAAGACATCTCTTGACAAAACACCGCCTGAAGCATTGATAGTTGCATCATTGACGTAAATCAACACAAATGAATTAAACTAACAAACATGTTGGATCAACATCATGAATACTGGTGCTGATCTATTTCTTAATAGGTGGAATCATAAGGTAAGATGTGGACTTCTTTTAATAAGTAGTATGTATCCAGGACACAAGTGCAATTGTTATAATAAACTAGCAGCATTTACATGAATGTGCTTTTGGGATTTTAATCTGTTAATTAAATAAAGAATTGTCCGTGTTTTGCAGTAATGTGGATGATATCAGAAAAAGTCCCAATATAACTAGATTTAATGTAAGATAATCAATTGGTACTCAGTTTGATTTAGCCCAGGGTGGGCAACTGGCGGCCCCCCCTTCAACCCTCAATGTGGCCCTCAGGTCAATTAATTGGAAACATGAAGAAAAACATGACAAAATCTGCCATGAAATCATGAAAACCAGAAATATGTCCATACAAATATTTGATCACTGGTATATGTTGAGTTCAATTTGAGACATAATTGACTGTTATCGTTTTTGTATCCTACAATTTGGCCCTCTGGCAGTGAGAATTAAATGAATGTGGCCCCTTGCTGTGACCAAAGTTGCCCATCCCTGATTTAGCCTGATATGAAGGAGCAATATGGAAGAACATAGAATTACTCCCAGAGCAGTAAGTTCCCGACCCCCCTCACCTTTCTGGGCCAGGTAATTCATCTGATGCCTCCTGGTGTGTTTCTGCTGGAGCTCCTGGAGGAAGTTGGACCCGGAGTTACTACGTCCCAGGAAGGCATCGGACCCGGACGCCTCGGTGGAGCTGTCCCAGCTGTCCACATTCCTCCTGCTGCCCCCGCTGTACGTCTCGTAGAGCTCCACCAGCAGGCAGTCCACTATGGAAGCCCTCGGACCGTTCCCCACGCCTCCTCCGTGGGACTCGGAGTCGCTGCTGTCCGCGGCCGTGCTGGTGCACCTTTGGGCGGCTGTGTCGGCGCCGAGCTGCCGCTGCTGAGCCAGAGGTGATGATGTGTCATTAGGGGACTCTGCGCGGATCGTCCACTGATGAAAGCCGGAGAAGTCATCCTGCAGGAGGTGACAGAGTTGACGAAAACACCGCTCTCTCCCTCGGAACAAACGCCACCGTCGCATATGTCAACTTCCAAAAGTTCATCCCCGTTTAAATGTTCTTCTGTCGCCATGTTTTTCAAGAGCAGTGAATTACCTGTAACTGTTTTCTAAGTGAGAAGTTTTAAAGTTTTCTCTGAGCGTCCACCTGGAGCTCTCCATTCCTCTCCTGAAGAAGGTGAAGTCTTGTCTGACAGCTTTTTTTTGTTTCCTTCCTGAAAGTTTCCGGATTCGATCATCCTGCCCCCCCCCCCAAACCCCCCCTGACTGAACAATGGGCCGGCCCACGTCGTGAAAAACTTCCCAACGGCTGGCAAACTTTGTCCACAGGTCGAGCGACAGGTGCTGCAGTAGCCTTGACCAATCAGAGAGGAGTCAAAAGTATTCCGACCAATCAGCTTCCTCCTTTAAAGGCTATACTAGGAGGTCGTTTAAAATGTATAATTTGACTGTATTTAATACGGAAAACAATTATATAACATAAACAAAATAATAAACCTGCACTTACAGTGTCTTGTAGGCATTTAAATCATTATTACTGAATCTTTTATCACATATTACACATTTTTATTGTTCATTGTCCTATAGTAGCCTATCCAGGAAGGTTTCACACTCTTCAAAATGTGTTGGAAATGTTTGTTGATAATATTATAAAAACTTTGAAACACTCATTTCATTTTCATTTGATTCAAATTAGTAGAGAGTTTTCATTTCTTTTTTTTATTCCATTACACAGAAAAACAAGACAATAAAACAATAAACACCCATTTACCCTCCCAGCTTATAATGATATATCTTAATATTTTTAATTTAATTGTTGGGCCATCCAACTTAAATCTACAATTTCAATATATAGGCTACTATTGTACATACATTTTTTTTTAATCTTTTGTTGATATCCTTTTTTATTTTCAACTTCTACTGTAAATGTGTTATTTTCTATTGTAATGTTATGTAAGGAGGCCCTAAGAAGACAAATAAAGTGAATCTAAGTGCTAAACTATTGTTGTCAGCCTTACATCTGTTATTAGTAATATAAATATTAAAGTCAATCTTAGAAGTGCTTAACTTCAACCTTTATAATTAACAATCAGTCCTCCACGTTTCATCGTCATCATTCATACAGTAACATTAATATTAGACTGATCAGTCTATTATCATACTTAGCTTTTACTACACATACTTTTACCATCATTACTGACACTGTAGCTATAAATCTTTTCGATTCCTTGTTGTTGCTGTTTGTGTCTCTCCTTCCTCCTGCATCTCCCTCACAGCCCAACACAGGATCTGCAGATGTTTGTTCACCATGAGTCTGGTGCTGCTCAACGTTTCTGCCTCTAAAAGGAAAATGCAAACAGCAAAGTACAAAAAAATGCAGTAATAATTCATAAAACAAAAAAAACGTGAACACAATTAACACCGATTAATTTAGCTTGGTATTACAGTTATTTTCCATTTTTTTTCTATTTTACTTAGAATAACAGTAATTTTTTGTTTATTATTTACTATTATTATTGTTGTTGTGGTTGTTGTTATTATTAATAGGCTATTTATTTTTTTATTTTTTTGCAACTTTTTGTTTATTGGGCAATCCAAACATAGTTCATTTCTTATATCATTATTCTTTTTTTATAATGTTATACAAAACAATAATAGAATGCATTAGGCTATTTTTAGTAGAATGACAGTAATGTTTTGTTTTTATTTATTATTATTGTTGTAGTTGTGGTTGTTATTATTATTAAAAGGCTATTTTTAGTAGAATAACAGTTGTGTTTTGTTTATTATTTATTTTTTATTTTTTTGTGGTTGTTATTATTATTAAAAGGCTATTTTTAGTAGAATAACAGGTGTGTTTTGTCATTAGTCATGCAGGGGGCGTGACGTCTCTGGATCAGCTGACTCGGACTTCCGGGGGCCGATCAGCGCATGACCACGAAACAAGGAAGTGTTGTCTCAAACAGGGCCGAGTCTGTTCTTGTGTGTGTGTTTTTTTTCCACTCAGAAGAGACTGACAACATTTCACGCTCTTAAAAAGACTCCGGAGCTGCAGGAGGAGGCGGAAAGCTTCTGCAGTTTTACATTCAATCACAGTGAAAATGGACGCAGATCGCCGACGCCCGCTTTGTGTCCTTATCTGCGTCACTTTGTGCGGCTACCTGAGCCCCGGGTGTTTGCAAAATCATACTGGAGACCTAACATTGTTTTGATCCTCACTGACGACTTGGACATCGCGATCGGGGGTCTGGTGAGTTCATGTGGTGGTTTTTATTCTCCTTTATTTTGCATGCTGTGGATCTTATTCTAGGGAGAGTGGTGACTTTGCATTTACCTCTCTCTCTTATCCATCATGTCACTTGAAAATGTTGGATTAATCGATTTTAAACTAGATTCTATTTTCTCACATTGCGATACAGCTGACAGCTCACATTCCTCCCTGGCTTGCACACATCATTTAGGCATCTCACAGAGTCAGCAGACCTTATCACTTTTTTCAATCTGCTCCCACAGTTTATACAGCAAACACCCCTCCCTCCCATTAAAACCCTCAGCTGGTTACATGCACCAAATCCCAATCAAAAATCTGATGATTTAAGAGCATAATCCGGTGTTCAAAGTGTGCACACTGCAGCCTTAAGAAGGAAACTGCTGGCAAATATGTTTACTGTAAAAGTGTGTTACATCAGCTACAGATCCTCAGTCATGTGTTTACCCAAAAAGAGAGAGAGAGAGAGAGAGAGAGAGAGAGAGAGAGAGAGAGAGAGAGAGCATCCCTTCTCTCTGACAGGAAACTGAGAGTCTTTGGATTGTGGACCAAACGACCTCAGGATAAATCTAGAACATAACAAAGTCTTAATAATGATTATCAGAACAGAGTTTTTACTGTCGGGGCCCGGAGTGACTGGAGCGGCTAAGAAAAAAAGTTTTCCTTAAATCTCTTCCCTAAAAAAAAAACTTCATTAAGCTGCAGAGAATGTTCTCCTAGTTATCTGCTTCTTTTGTTCGTTTCTAATTCCTTAAAAACGTCATGCTCTGGCCTGGTTAGTTATAAGGAAACTTAAGTATCATCACTTTAAATCACAACTGAAAATAAAAGTCCTGTATGCAAACAGCAGATGAAACACCAGCGTCAGAGCTGAGGCCGCAGCTCAGGCTGATTATTTGTATTAAGGATTAATCCGCTGATTATTTTAGAGGAACAATCGAGTCATTGTTCGCTTCATTAAAGTTAAGAATAAAGAGGTAGAGGGGGAAAAGGTCCTGTAAGACTTCCAAGAAACGAAAGCAGGCCTCCTCTGTGAGCTTGATTTGTGACTGAAAGGCCGCCTGTTGATGATCACTGATTCAGGACGCAGAGTTCGTTTTGGGAGAGTGTCACTCCCATGATTCCCCGCGATCGTCATCTTTTTATATTGTTTTGATTGAGATTTTACATCCTGTTTGTTTAAATAGTTACAAGATAAATTGGACGATTTTAGTTTTTAAAAAATGGTTTAAATTGTGTTTTCAAGAGTCAAGTTCTCATGAAACCAAATGTGTTCCCTCCAGAGTCCTCTGACGAAGACAAAGAAGCTGATTGGTGATGCAGGGATTTCATTTTCAAACGCAGTGAGTACAGTAAAAGGAGGCTGTTACGTGGCTAATAAAGGCTCAGGTTTAGTTTTTTAGCGCCATTTTTTCATCTCTCATCGCTCTCCCTCCAGTTTGTCGCCAGCCCGCTATGCTGCCCGAGTCGAGCCAGCATCCTGACGGGGAAATACCCGCACAACCACCACGTCATCAACAACACGATCGAGGGAAACTGCAGCAGCACAGCCTGGCAGAAGAGCGAGGAAGCCCACACCTTCCCCGCCATACTGAAGAATCACGGATACCAGACCTTCTTCGCTGGGAAATACCTCAACCAGGTAATGCGGATGTGTGTGTGTGTGTGTTTCCTGCATGGTGGTTTGGTCATTGGTCTGATGGTTTGGTTATGTTTACATTTGCTAATTAGCCATCAAAGGAGATTAACTTCCTGTTGTTCCTGAGCTCGCCCGTTGATTTTGTTAATCAGTGTTTGCAGAGGCAGAAGTCTGTCGTCCGAGAATATGAAAAATATGGAGGACCAAGGACGGGGCTTTGGGGTTCCCCTGATCACATGAAAACAGGTTCAATTAAAAATGGACATTTCAGATGACTGTTAGACGTTAAAACCATCACGACATGTGCTGCCAAACTAATGTCACATCATGAAGGAGTCCAGTGGTCCCCATTCTCCCATTATCTCAGTGTTTCCAAACCTTTTGGACTTGTGACTCCTTAAAGTTCAGCAAAGTCGATTCCTTATCGCGGGACATGTCTGTGTGTTCCTTATCAACACACACACATGTCCTGAGCTGGGGATGTGAGAAGTGAGGCGTTCATGGCACGGTTTTAAGCTGTTAAGGATAAAAGTGTCAGTTAGTTCATCTCTTTGATTCTAAACAAATTTACTTTTAACCAACAGCTGCCTGGAGTAGAAGAGAGAGAGAGAGCAATGTCTAAATAGTTCATGAACGTATGATGCCAATGTTAATTTTTCCATCCCGAATGAAGAATTCAAAAAGAGGAGGTGCTCCAGGACTGAAATGCAAATTAGGAATTTTTAAAATGCTAATAAGCTAAATGAAATATAGTGGAAAAACTGAAACTTGTTGACATTTTGGTTTGAGCTTTGTTTCCTGTTTTCCTATTTTGCTCTAGTGCTGAATTTTCCCACGCTGTTTACGTCCTTTAACATCATCATAATACACCGTTTGTGTGTTTCAGTACGGACACTCGGACGCCGGCGGGGTGGAGCATGTGCCTCCAGGCTGGAGTTACTGGGTCGGACTGGTAAGTCTGAAACCTTTTCAGCCCTTTTCAGCAAAAACGTTTTCCCCAATCTGACAGACTTTGGCTGTTTCGTTTTAAGACAGAATTAAGCCCTCAGATACTGACCTGGTCCTGCCCCTAAAAAAACTTACTGATTCAAATCCAGCTCAGCTTGTTCAAGGAACGCCATCACAATAAGTCCACCATACCATTAAACACGTGGAAATGTGTCACGCTTCCCTAGAGAGCTGAGGTAACAACGCAGGAACTACTGCAAGACATTTCTCCTGCAAATGAGACAGACTGAGATTTTAATGCAAATGTTTGTATTTTGTTGGCCTTTATTGATATTTTACCCATAATGCAACTGTTACACTGTCTCATGATGGACTAAAAGATGTGTCTGATGTTTTTGTCTGCACAGAAAATGCTCAAATAGACAAAAAAGTTTCTCTTTATGTATATAAACATGCAAATGTTTGCAGAGAAGTTTTTTTTTATTTGACCTCCGTGCAGTAAGGCCAACCTGAGTTCAGTCATTTGTCATAATAAAGTTGATGTGCTCTTGTAGCTGCAGTCTCTGTGCAGCAGGAGCCAGACTAATAAACAGGCTGAAATGAGATTATCTTGAGTTTACTGTACGTCTCTTAACTGAATTACAGAAGTTATGACACTGAGGTCACGTCTGTGGTGCAGAGCGGTTTATCTGCAGAGCTGCTGAACAAACACAGATGTGAGAACTGGTCTCATGACCTGACAGCTTATCATAACACAGGGAGAGAGGGAGAGAGGGAGAGAGGGAGAGGTCTTTTGGTGACAATGATCTCTTTCATCTTACACACAACACCGATCGGTCTCAAAAATGTCAGAAAATGTTCAAAAATCTCAAACAACTACATCGTTATCAATAAAAAAAGAACCAACAATGACATGAAAAGTTGGTTACATCCATTTCTATGACTTCTTCTTGAACACAATGTAACACGCTACAGCAGCTACTGTAAGGAGACGGCTCATGTTCATACATGTGACCATGCTGAATTTGAGTTTAACTTTTGTAATCTGTTAATTTACAACGAGTGCATGAACCAAAGTGCCGATAGTAACATATTTTGTTGCAGATATGCGCCGATATGACTAGATTTATTTACCAGTCCAATAGCATTTCATTTGAGTTTCTTGGATGTTACATTTGCAGTTCTCTTTCACCAGCAGAGGGTGCTTATATATCTTTTCCACAAGTGTTTGATGACTGCATTTGAGGGATCAACACAATAAATGTGTATTTCTATCTATCGCTACAGATCTAAGAAAGATATCGGCCGATAGCTGATTATTTTCTCTCCCTACTATCGATATCGGCCTCAAAAAACCTGAATCAGTCAGTCTCCAGTCGTTACACCTGGGCCTCCATCCAAGACATGTTATGCACACACACTAAGTGAGAAAGCTTCAAGCGACCACATTAAAGTGTTTTTTATTTACTCAGACTTTCACTGTGTGATTGTTGCGACGGCTCATATCAGGTAACAATAACAAAGTGATTAATATGTGTCACTGTGAGTAAAGACTGCATGCATGTTACGTAAACATGAGGTTGTTTGTGTTTTGCAGGAGAAGAACTCTAAATATTATAACTACACTCTGTCAGTGGATGGAAAAGCTCAGAGACATGGAGCTGATTACAGCAAAGACTACCTGACTGACGTTCTGGTGAGTCATGATTATTATGATTACTGAGTCTGTGCACGGATGTTAATAATGAGGGGGGGGGAGACAGCCGCTCAATGTTTTGAATTGGGGCTGCAGTAGGCAGTGCATTTTCTGGTTATTGGTTGTTATTTTAACTCTCTTTTCTCTCTCTCTCTCTCCAGGCTAACATGTCTCTGGACTTCCTCAGTTATAAATCAAACTACCAGCCGTTCTTCATGATGGTCTCCACGCCGGCCCCCCACTCGCCTGGACCGCAGCTCCTCAGTACCAGAACAGCTTCAACACCACGAAGGCTCCAAGAGACCCCAACTTCAACGTCCACGGGAAGGTACGGCTTCTCTCTGGAATCTAGACCTAAGAAATACAAAATTAAAACATGGGTGACGTCACCAAAACAGAAACCTTTTGATTCCTTTCTGTTTTCTCCTCAGGACAAACACTGGCTCATCAGACAGGCTAAAACCCCCATGACCAACTCCTCCGTTCAGTTTCTGGATGATGCCTTCAGGAAACGGTCGGTCTCTGCTGCTTCTCCACTTCCTGTTCTTCCTCTTAGTGCTTCTCACCTTTCCTGTCTAGTTTCTCTTTGCATGTTACTCACTCACTTCCTCATCGTTACAACCCAATCGACGCCCACTTTGACCTACTTTTTCTGCTTCTGATTGTCTTGTATTTTCAAAGGATCTATTTCTAGTCGATAGTCAAGATTTGTATCCCTAAATTGTATGACTTTTTCCTTTTTTATTGTAATAGGAAAGCATTTTTTTTTAAGTAATTGAGAAATGAGAGTTTTTTTTGTTCATGTTTAATGTTGTGTCACTGCAGGTGGAGAACTTTGTTGTCAGTAGACGACATGGTGGAGAAAATAGTGAAGAGTTTGCAGGTCAGAGGAGAGCTGAACAACACATATGTCTTGTTTACCTCTGACAACGGCTACCACACAGGTATCTACACACACACACACACACACACACACATTTAAACTCTTCATATTTATGTACATCTGCAGTCAGAGAGAGAGGCTGATTAGAGATTTATTTTTACTTTTAAGAGAAATAAAGAAGGGATGAGTGGGGGGCGGTCTGTGGCACGCCCCATGTCCAGAGGCTGTAGTCCTCGTCTAAGCGGCTGTGGGTTCAAAATCAACCTCGACCCTTTGCTGCATGTCATCCCCCCACTCTCTCTCTTTAGCTGTCATATCGAAGGAAGGCAAAAAGGCCCCAAAAATAACAAGTAACCAAAACAAAACAGCGAGTGATTCAGACATTGTTCGAGGGATTAGTTAATGGTGAGAGATCAGGCACACTAAGTGGACTACGAGGCCTTCATGGAGGTTGAAGTCCTCTTGTTATAAAAATGTCAGTCAGTTTTTTAGGGTCTTCTTAAAACAAAACAGAGTAAACATAGGTGAAATGTGAACTTTCTACATGTCTTTGTATCTTTCAGGTCAGTTCTCTCTTCCTCTGGACAAACGGCAGCTCTACGAGTTTGACATCAGAGTTCCCCTCATGGTCAGAGGACCCAAAATCAAGCCCAACCAGACGAGCAAGGTACGCAAACAAACACACACTTCTATCTGCTAGTTTGAGATGGCACCAGTCGGCCCACAGTGTCGACCCCACGCTCTGAAAATCTGAACAAAATATTCAGGTTGGAGACGGCAGCAAGATGTTAAAAGGTAGAGTCAGCTGGAATGTTCGCTCGCAGCTTGTAGACATTCAAACTGAGCCCCTTCCTCCCGGGCTCGCCGCCCCCTCAGCACACACTCACTGCAGGAAGTGGTGTGTACATTTTACTGGTTAGTACCTACACTTCAAGATACCGCATGCTAGCACAAGCTTACAGTCTGTGTTTGGGACCGTAATGTCTGACGATATAGTACGCTGACTTTTTAGGATTTCATTCAGTAGATATTTTACATTTTGCTCCTTTAAGTTGAAATCATTTGCTTCATTTTGTCTTCAGCTGCTGGTGGCGAACGTGGACCTCGGTCCGACCATCCTGGACATCGCCGGCTACGACGTCAACAAGACGCAGATGGACGGCATGTCCTTCCTGCCCGTCATGGTCAGACACAGCCTCGCTTCATTTATTTTTAAAGCTGAAGTTTTGAATTTTTATGGAAATTATCAAAAAGACCAGAAAAATAGTTTGTAAACAAACACATGATGATGACTCATGATTGTGTGTGTGTGTGTGTGTGTGTGTGTGTGTGTGTGTGTGTGTTGTGTGTGTGTGTGTGTGTGTGTGTGTGTGTGTGTTGTGTGTGTGTGTGTGTGTGTGTGTGTGTGTGTGTGTGTGTGTGTGTGTGTGTGTGTGTGTGTGTGTGTGTGTGTGTGTGTGTGTGTGTGTGTGTGTGTGTGTGTGTGTGTGTGTGTGTGTGTGTGTGTGTGTGTGTTACCAGGAGGGGAAGATGAACAGTAGCAGCTGGAGAACAGACATCCTGGTGGAGTATGAAGGAGAAGGAAGAAACGTGTCGGACCCCTCCTGCCCCCTGCTGGGACCAGGAGTGTCGGTACGGCATGTTTTTTTTTTTTTTTAACCCTTTGGACAGAAAATAAAGATTTTGCAGCTTTAAAACTCATTCATTCTCTTTCTTCTCTTCCATCGTCTCTATAGGAGTGTTTCCCAGACTGTGTGTGTGAGGACTCTTACAACAACACCTACGCGTGTGTGCGCACTGTCGCCCCCTGTGCCAACCTGCAGTACTGCGAGTTTGACGATAACGAAGTGAGGGAATAGATTTAATCATATTTTTGAATTTTGAATTATTTGTTGTGACTGCAATTAAAAAAAAAAAAAAGATAAAATGTGCTGTAATGAATCACTCAGGCACAATTTCCTTACTGTGCTGCCATCTGGTGGTTGATTAAAGTTTGACAGTGTCAGAAACACTTTACCTGATTCACTTTTATTTGCCGTTGTGCGCCCCCCTGTAGGTGTTTGTAGAAGTGTACAACGTGACTGCAGACCCCTTCCAGCTGACCAACATCGCAAAGACCATCGACCAGGAAGTCCTGGAGAAGATGAACCACCGGCTGATGATGCTGCAGTCCTGCTCCGGACAGTCGTGTCGAACGCCCGGCGTGTACGATCCAAGGTCAGTTCATCAACGCTGCCAACAGAATGTACAAAAATAGATGCACAAAATCACACAGCACTATAAATGACTCCTCCGTTTAAGAAATCAACTTGTTTTGGGGATTTTCACCCAGTATCATATTCCTCTTTTGTTCCACAGTTATAAATTTGACCCTCGACAGATGTTCACGGGCCACAGCTGGCGGCTCAGCAGACTCCGGCAGAGGGTGAAATAAAAAAAAAAAGAGGAGGCGCCGATGAAGACGTGGAGAAGATGGACTGAGGAAGAAAGGGCTGCATTGTTGTTTTATATTCAGCCTGCCCTGCTGTTGTTGCCTTGTTGTCAGGCCTCCCGAGCCAGTTTTCTCTGTGGACGGATGGAGAAGGGATCAGGTGAGGTCATATTGTAGGAATAGGTGCGTTGCCACGGAGACGAGAGGCCTCTTAGTGTGCAGCACTCGCCCTATGAAGTTTGGACTGCAGGTTTTTTTTGTGTGTGAGTTTTTGTGAGTATGAGCCAAATTATTCCGGATGG